CTGCTCCTCCATCATCGTCTGGTACGCTGCAGCCACAGCCAAGGACAAGGGCAGGCTGCAGCGTGTCCTCCGCTCTGCAGAGAGACTGATCGGCTGCAATCTGCCGTCCCTCCAGGACTATTTTTTCTTCTCTGGTGTCTCTAGAGGCACATAAAAATATGGCGCCACACCCTCTCTCACCCCGGACAAAACCTGTTTGTGCCCCTTCCATCTGGCAGGAGGCTGAGGTCCATCAGGACTACGACCTCCCGCCACACCAACAGTTTCTTTCCGTCGGCAGTCGGGCTCATCAACAGAGCCGGTTCCCCCTTGACTGATCTTGACATTTCACCGGTCACTTTCTTTCATACTGCACACGTCACTTTAAATGTCATTTCTCACTCGTCACTTTGTCACTTGTTCGCTAGTGCACTTTATTTTTTTATATTTTTTAACTTTTTAAATATTTTACATTTTTAACTAACTTTATTCTCTGGTTTTATACTAACCCATAGCCTTATTCTACTAACCCATTGCATCAGCATTTTACTTCATTTTATTACTTGTGCACTGCTGTCTTGTTGTCTACTGTCACGCACCAACCGCCAAGACAAATTCCTTCCTATAAATAGCCTAAACGTTAAATTAGTGATGAATCAAAAAAGCTGCACACTTCAAATCTGTTACGGTTAACGAGATGACCTCACAGTGATGACATCACAGAGAGGCGATGACGTCACAGAGAGGCGATGACGTCACAGAGAGGCGATGACGTCACAGAGAGGCGATGACGTCACAGAGAGGCGATGACGTCACAGAGAGGTGATGCCATGTTGTGGCCGAGGTGCCAATTGAAGACGAGCAGGCAGTCAGAAGTTGATCTGCGATCAATGAGTCCCCCCCCCATCCCGACTCACCTCCTTCTCACAGACAAACAGCTGATCTCCCCTCAGGACCATGAAGCGGTTCTTCCAGATCTCTCTGAAGATCCCTTTGCCGCAAAACTTCCGGATCCATCCGACTTTGTCAGGTTGGACCTGCTGCGGCGCCAAGTCCTGTGGGCCCTGCAGAAGGAAACAGGAAGTCATCAGAGCAGGTGAACTATACAGTGCAGGTGAACCACTCAGTGCGATGAGGTTCTTCTTCTGTGGTTTCAGTCGCTGTCAGGATGTTTGGAATAAAAACAGGTGAGGTGTCAGATTGTAGTTTTAACAGAAAATATTTATTTTTATCATTGAAGACGAAGAAGTCTGACGTTAAATGCATCAGAACCAGTTTAGGTTAATCAATAAATAATAACATGGATCAAATGCACAAATACTGTAAATAAGTAAAAGCATTGTGTACAAGTACAAGTGTACAAACCAATGTTCTCTATACGTTCTGTGTATTTACTGTGTATGTTCCGTGTATCTTCTCTATGTTCCGCGTAGCTTTTCTGTTAAGTTCCTCTTTTTGCTTCTCTTTAGATTCAGTAACTTTTGCTCTGAATCTTAGAACTAAATATCAAAACCACAACCAGTTCAAAGTTGAGTTTAATCGTATTAATCTTTATTCATTATTTATCTTATTTATCTGTATTTTTTAAATGTATTTATCATTTAAATCAGAACGGAAACTGAACTTCTCAGCTCATAGAGAAACATTTAAAATAACAATTATACTGATAAAATAAAACAATGACCCATTGCTACCATCAATAATAACAACGACAACAATAATAAAGTAAATAATAACAATCTTTCAGACAGCATGTACATGTACCGGTTGCAGTGATCTCTTTATCCCTGACAGTTATTTCAGTTTACCTCGAGATCTAAAACAAATAGTGTTCAAATAGTGTTTAACTTTTAATGTCTCATCTTTTTTCTGTTTTTATTAATAATCCTTTCGACGTTAACCGTGCTCTTATTGTGGAAACCGGAAAGTGTAGTCCACAAGAAGCTTTTCCACCTTCAAAATAAAAGCGTGAACTTAATCCTTGAGGCTTTTGTTCGTCGAGCTCCGGTTAATGGTGATGAACAGAAAAACGGACCCTCGCGAGCCGCCGGTGTCGGTGCCGTTAACACTCACCCGTTTACCGGAGCTGCTCTTCTTCATGCCGTCACGCGTTATGACGTCGTCACTTTAACCATCCGCCACTTTGACGAACTCCCGTTACCCCCCTCAAAGAGCACAGCACCGGCGGGAGGAGGAGAGCAGAAAGGCGGGTTGAAGCCCCGGTAATGTTCCGGTAATGTCCCGCCGGAAGACTGGAGCCTCCGGTATTGTGTCGGCTCGTCTTCGTACTGCTGCGGCCGGGCTGCGATGAGCTCTGACCGGCCTGGAGCCGCCCGGGGAGTCGGTGTCCGGTTACTCCTCCCCTCCTCCCCTCCACGCCCCCTCCTCTCCTCCTCTCTTCTTCTCTTCCTCCTCCTTCTACAGAGTATTGATAGTATAATATAATAATAAGAAGTGGTTGTAATAGTAGTATAGCAGTGGTATAATAAGAGTATCAAGATTGTAGTTATTACTCCTCCTTCTCCAGAGTTTAGCAGTTGTATAGAAGTTCATAGTATAATAAGAGTATTAGTAGTATAATAAGAGTATTAGTAGTATAATAAGAATACCATAGAATAATAAGAGTATTAGTAGTATAATGAGAATATTCTAGTATAATAAGAGTGTTAGTAGTATAATAAGAATACCATAGTATAATAAGAGTATTAGTAGTATAATAAGAATACCATAGTATAATAAGAGTATTAGTTGTATAATAAGAATATCATAGTATAATAAGAGTATTAGTAGTATAATAAGAATGTTATAGTATAATAAGAGTGTTAGTAGTATAATCGGAGTATTAGTAGTATAATAAGAATACTATAGTATAATATGAGTATTAGTAGTATAATAAGAATATTATAGTATAAAAAGAGTATTAGTAGTATAATAAGAATAGCATAGTATAATAAGAGCATTAGTAGTATAATAAGAATATTATAGTATAATAAGAGTGTTAGTAGTATAATCAGAGTATTAGTAGTGTAATAAGAATAGCATAGTATAATAAGAGTATTAGTAGTATAATAAGTGTGGTGGCCTGCTTTTGCACTTCCTGGTTTCAGTGCTCGGGACTCCGCTTCCTGACTCACACGTTGTCGCTGCCATAGAAGACACTCAATACTCGGGTTCTCATTTACGTCATTTATTTAGGTTTTACATTTGGTCGTTTAATTTGAACACGACTAACATGATTAACAGAGAGGACAACGTGAGGTCAAAAGTCTGTGCCGATGTCCCGTCCAATACAAAAGCCAGCCCCGGTGCCTCAGTCCCCCTCCTCTTATCCACTGACCCTCGTCACGTGAATCTAACGAATCATAAAGGAAGTTATTTCAAATATGAACAAAAATAGATTAAGTGAATACACATAATTCTTACCAACAAAACAAATAAATGGTTTGCAACAAAACAGAAAATATGGCTCCAACAATAAAAATATCATAGTATATTAAGAGTATTAGTAGTATAATAAGAGTATTGCTAGTCTAATAAGTGTAGTAGTAGTATAATAACAGTATTAGTAGTATAATAAGTGTAGCAGTGGCAGCTGGTCCATTGAGGGTAATGAGGCGACGGGGAAAAAAAACGTAATTTTTGTTTATATTACATAATATAATGTAAAAATGATATACCTCACACACCTGGTGGTACACCTCTTCAGACTCTACCTCCACTAACACACTAACTAACTGCAGCACTTACATTGGACTTATAATGGTTCTTATCTACAGCAAGTTGTACATCGGCTTATTTATTTGCACTTTCTTGTTTCTTGTTCTTCTGACTTTGTGTCCTGATGGTTGAAATGTTCTTATTGTAAGTCGCTTTGGATAAAAGCGTCAGATGAATGACATGTGATGTAAGAAGCACTCCTTCGTGTCTCTCCGTTTCTCTGAAAATGGAGAACCATAAACTAGGCTTTAAAGTTCACATCGCGACCCAGCTGCGACACAACCAGGACGTGGATGAAAACAGGCACATTTCATCCAATATAGTTCATTGTTGTAGGGCTTTGTAGTTATCAGATACCAATATATATATATATATATATATATATAGACATATATATTCATTGATATACTGAATTGTTTGAATAATATGTCCATATTATGTTAAACTGTTGGAATAAATGTTAAATATTTGATACCCTTTTTGCATTGAATCATAGTGGAATGTTTACTGAAACTGATTGTCTGACCCTGCCCAAAAGAAAGTGTAGTAATAGTATAAGAGTATTAGTAGTATAGCAGTAGTATAATGAGGTATCAGTATTGTAGCCAGCCACCTTGTGTGTGAACACAGAGCTCGTTATGGACAAACCACGACCAGCACAGAGCTGCACCAGCTCAGCTCTTTCCCTGCTAGCGAGGTGACGTTCCACGTTCCAAGAGCTGGCCCAGTGCCTGGTCCACATAGACCCCGACCCCATGCGGGTGCTCCATGCTTTCCCTTCAGGCTGAGCCCGACCCGGTGGTTGGGGATCACTGGTCTACATCATGTACATGAAGATGTGCATACATGTACACCATAAAAGACTCAATCAGAGACCAAGGCGTGAAACAACGCAGATCTGCATGGGGGGTCCCTCTGGATCTGGTCTGGGTCAGCGCACATCTGGATCAATGTAATCCGGTCTGTGTGCTGGCAGATGTTCAGTGGCAGATCAGATCTGGAGTCAGTAACTCAGCTCAGATCATCAAAGTGGGTCAGACTGAGAGGAGGAGGCTGATTTGTGGATTATCTGCTGAAACGCTTCATTAGAGACACAACAGGAACAAATACAAAAACACGGAACTGATCCAGGATCAGTTGTTTCTCCACAGTCACATTAGAGAAAAATAATAAGATATAAAATAAGAAATTTAAAATATTCACAATTCCGTAACTAAGTTTTTATGGACAAACTAGAGATGTTTTTATTTGTGCTACTTTCTGCATTTACTCTCCGCTGTAATTATGTATTCAAATATTTTATTTGAAATAATAAATAAATAAATCAAGGTAAAAATACTTTTTATGGAGGACAAAAAATGACTTAAATATAAATAAATGAATGAATAAATAGATAAATGTGTAAATAAATGTAGTTTATTTATACATGTATTCATTTATTTATACTACATTTTTTGTTATTACATCTTAGTAATTACTTAATGAAAACATTTTTTACTGTTGTTAGTCAGAAAGTATTTAGTACTAATATTTTTCACTGTACTTCTCAGAGTAAATGTTGTACTTTTACATTTATCAATTATGTATTTAGTCTCTTTAAAGATTATATTGTTAATCAACTCATGTATAGGTTATATATAAGTCATTAGCCTGTTGTATGTCTATTTCGGGTATACAATTTCATTAATATATTTATGTACTTTTAAGTTCATTAACTACATACACACTTCGCTTTGTTCATCATTATTAATAATATAATAAATGTGTTTATAAAGCACGTAATAAAACATATGTAACAAAATGAGAAAATATACGTAAAGAAATGAAAATTAAAGGTTGTTTTAAACAAAACATCACAAAACATAATCACTAACAATATAATAGTGAAACATGGAGAAAAAACTGGATCAAATGATTTTTATTGTGTTTCTTAGACTCTGCAGCCTCCTGCTGGTGAAACATAAATAAGTGCTTTATGATCATATTAATGCTTCATATTGATATTACATATTTTACTGCTTTATATCAGTATTATTTCATATCAATGTTCCTGCTTTATATTCATATTAAGGCTTGATATTATTAATATAGTTTTCAAATCAATGAATAACTTCTTTAAATGAATATTACTGCTTTGTATTACTATGAATACTGGTTAGGAAATAACAGAATTCAGAAATCCTTTATTCAGAATAATATAATAATTTCCTGGCACTATAATTATCATCATTAGACATTTTAATTTTACAAACTTTGAAATATTACATTTTCTTTCACAAAACCAAACATTTAAGAGATGAAATTTAATTGTGTCAACTGTTATTTATTTATTGATCAACCTCTCAAACACAAATACACAAAAAGCTGCTGAATTTGATTTCCTGAATATTCAAAACATAACCTTAAATAAACTGAACCGAATATTCACTAATAAAACTCTAATAAAACACAAAGAGAACCAAAAAAAGATGAAGCTAGTTAAATAAAACAGTAAGCAAACAAAAAGGAAGAAAAAAAGCTAGTAAATATATTAAGTCAGAAACGTGGGGTTAAAGGGAAATGTCCTTTAATCCAACCAATCGAGCGCTTTCCTCCCACAGCTTTCTCGCCGCAAAGTCGTCCCGCCCCTCCGGAGCCGCCTCCTTCTCTGCACAGTCACTGACAACGAGGAGGAATACAGTTTGCATTAATTCCATATAGCTGGATTCAGAACTACAACACAAATAATTCCACAGTCCCCGTGTGCCTGACTAGGGCTAGCGCATTAGCTGCTAGCCCTAGTCAGTCCCCGTGTGCCTGACTAGTGCTAGCACATTAGCTGCTAGCACTAGTCAGTCCCCGTGTGACTGACTAGTGCTAGTGCATTAGCTGCTAGCACTAGTCAGTCCCCGTGTGACTGACTAGGGCTAGCGCATTAGCTGCTAGCACTCGTCAGTCCCCGTGTGACTGACTAGTGCTAGCGCATTAGCTGCTAGCACTAGTCAGTCCCCGTGTGACTGACTAGGGCTAGCGCATTAGCTGCTAGCCCTAGTCAGTCCCAGTGTGACACCTTTGTGTAGGTTTCTGTTTCCATGAGCTCAAAGAACTGTGTCAGTTTGAGTAAAACCATTGAGGGAAGTTGAAGGGAAACTAATGTAACAAGAACAGAACCCGCCCCCCACCTAAAGTATCGCCCCGATTGGCCCTCCAGACCCGGCGTCACGGCGCAGTACACGGTGGTCTGACACCCCTGAGTGGGGGTCTTCATGAGCAGCAGGGAGGGGAGCCTTAGCAAGGCCCCCAGCATGGGGAACCAGCCCTCCACGTGGCGGCCCAGCTCGGTCCGGATCACACCCGGGTGGAGACAGAACGACGACACTCCGGAGCCTGAGGGGCAGACAAGGGGAGGTGGGTAAAACAAGCTACAGTGGTTTGAGGTTTATATGACCTGTGGGGGTCTCCTGCAGGTCTCCTGCTACCACCATTCAGCCTCTGCAGCTCATCCAGAATGCAGCAGCTCCACTGGTCTTTAACCTTCCTAAGTTCTCCCTCACTCCTCCACTCCTCCGCTCTCTTCACTGGTACCGGTGGCTCATCCAGTTCTAAACATGGTGCTCACGTACCAGGCTGTGAATGGATGGGGTTCAGCTTACATCCAGGACCTGGTCCAACCCGACATCCCGACCCGCACTCTCCGCTCTGCATGTGATAAACTGCTTGTTCCTCCTCACTGAGAGCAAAACACTCGACTAGATCTCCACTCTCTGCTGTCCTGCTCCTAAATGGTGGAAGGAGGTCTCTGAAGACATCAGGACCACAGAGAGCCTTCACATCTTCAGACTAAAGACACACCTCTTCAGACTCTACCTCCACTAACACACTAACTAACTGCAGCACTTACATTGGACTTAATGGTTCTTATCTACAGCAAGTTGTAAATATGTTTATTTGATGAAATCACACTTTCTTGTTTCTTCTTCTGACTTTGTGTCCTGATGGTTGAAATGTTCTGATTGTAAGTCGCTGGGGATAAAAGCGTCAGATGACGTGTGATGTCATGTGTCTAGTGTTTGACCTGTGAGTCGTCGGGACAGTTCCCTGGTGAAGAGCACGTTGGCTAGTTTGCTTTGTCGGTAACTCTCCAGCGAACTGTACGGTTTTCTGCTGGCGAACAAGTCGTCAAAGTCGATGTGACCTGAAAAAACACAATGAAAACTGAATGAGAGAAACATGAAACGTTACAGCTCAGAGGTCAAAGGTCAGAGGTCGTACCCCCTTGGTGGGCAACAGACGACACGGTGACCACGCGGCTGGGGGCTGAGGTCTTCAGCCTCGGCAGCAGGAGATTGGTCAGCAGGAAGTGACCCAGATGATTGACAGCCAGCTGAGTTTCAAAACCGTCTTCCGTCAGCCATCTTGGACACATCATCACTCCTGCAGACAGACCGGTGGAGAGAGACGAGTAGGCAGACAGACAGACAGGTGGAGGGGTGATAGACAGGTGAGCCCACCTGCGTTGTTGATGAGGATGTCCAGTCTGTCTTCACCGTCCATGAAGTCTTTAGCAAACTGTGTGACGGAGTAAACGGAGGCCAAGTCCAGATGCCTGATCACCACGTTCCCATTTCCTGTGGACTGACGGATGTCCTCGGCCGCCTGCTCCGCCCGGGTTAGGTCCCTGCAGGCCATCACCACCCGGGCCCCTTCAACGTATCAAACACACCCATCACCACCCGGGCCCCTTCAACGTATCAAACACACCCATCACCACCCGGGTCCCTTCAACGTATCAAACACACCCATCACCCCCCGGGCCCCTTCAACGTATCAAACACACCCATCACCCTATTAGAAATGGGTGTGTTTGATCTGGGGTACGTGGAAGAACCCGGCGGCACACCGTGCTGACGGGCGTGTTTCATTGGGTACTGGGCTCTGTATTAATCCTTGTAATCCCCTCAGGTGGTTCAGGCCACTGAGATTACAATGACCTCTGACCCCTGGGGATGACATGGGGAAGGAGGGGGGAGATCGCCAGGACTCGGTCAGGTGAAAAGTAGCCCCCTGCATTACACGACAGTGTGTGAGGCGCAGAGGTGGTGTAACCTGAGGGCCTCACAACGCGTAACAGAAGACGGCACAGCGCCACGTGTCTGACCTCTGCGCGCCACGTGTCTGACCTCTGCGCGCCACGTGTCTGACCTCTGCGCGCCACGTGTCTGACCTCTGCGCGCCACGTGTCTGACCTCTGCGCGCCACGCGTCTGACCTCTGCGCGCCACGCGTCTGACCTCTGCGCGCCACGCGTCTGACCTCTGCGCGCCACGCGTCTGACCTCTGCGCGCCACGTGTCTGACCTCTGCGCGCCACGCGTCTGACTCTGCGCGCCATGCGTCTGACCTCTGCGCGCCAAGCGAATGACCTCTGCGCGCCACGACGTCTGAACTCTGCGCGCCACGAGTCTGACTCTGCTCGCCACGCGTCTGACCTCTGCGGGCCACGTCCCGGCTCGTCTCTTTGCCGATGCCGGTGTTCGCTCCGGTGATCCAGAACCGTCTTTCCGTCCAGACGAGTGGAGCAGAGACAAACTCCACCTGCGATCCACCTCCTCAGCCCCGTCACACCTGGTGGCCAACAATCACACAAACAAACAAACATGTTGTTGTTATTTTGTTATTGTACAAACATTTTTCTGTAGTTTCCAACAACCATCACTATATATACATAAATTACTACACATATACACATAAATACCCATGTATATATAAACAAATATACATAAACACACAAATACACTGTATATACATACATATATATATATATACATACAGAAACGTATCGATATACTCTGATGTGAAGACACTAGTACATAAATACACATAGATTTATACACATCCAGTGGATATAAAACGTCTGTTAAAAGTTCCTCTAATGTGAAAAAATGAGACAAATCAAGTCAGAACTTTTCCACCTTTAACATAAACAATTCAATTGAAAGAAAAATTACATTTTTCAGAGGGAAAAATGTGAAATGAAATTCTAAAATAATAATAATAACCCTTAAACTAATACTTTGTTGAAGCACCTTTTGAATGTATAGATTTTACAGCAGTCAGCGTGGCTCATGCATAAATACACAGTGATATGTACAGTATGTATATATACACATACTGTATGTACACATGTACACGTACTCACTGACGGATCAATGGATACAACAACAACATGACAGATTATTGATCGTTAATCACAAGAGGAATCTTACAGATCACAGCCAGGCCGACCAGAGCTCCAGACCTCAGCAGAAGCCCCCCCCTCTCCTCCTCCACCAGCTCCACGTCAGGGGGGTCAGAACCAGAACCACCGGGCCACGGCAGAACCAGGAACCCTCCCGGGGCGACGGCTCGCATGGCTGCACGTCGGAGCGGACTGAAGAGAAGCAGGACGGAGGCGAGGGGGAGGGGGGCAGATTAATTCAGATTAGGGCAGATTATCCCCCTGTGGGTTCAGGAAGGATCAGTGGATCCGACACAGAACAGAACAACACCAGTACGTGTTTGTGTCCGTAATATGATTATAGATTATCAGATGCTATTTTTTCTATTGCCAGTAAATATGAAGAATGTAATGTATCAGTAATGGAAAAGTGTCCCATAAACAACATGAACTACTAGCAGGTCATGTAGTATTTCTATCAGATAATGTAGTACTTACGTCAGAAAATGTAGTATCAGATTATTTAGTCTAAGTGCATTTAAATAATTGGTGTTTGACAGCAGTGTGCCCCCTGCTGGTGGGACGCAGCTACAGGTTGGTGTGCGTGGTGCAGAGCTGGTCTTTGACCTCGGCCTGTGACGGGGCCTGATGGACAAACTGCACCCGATCTCCCTGCGTGGTTGAAACCAATAGGACGCATAAAGGAAAAGGTCAAAGGAACGAGTTACAGCCGCAACACTGGTACTACAACCAGATAATGTACTTCAGTGTAGCACTAAAATCAAAAAAGAACTGGCGAGAAAAGGACAGATGGAACAAACTCTTACGCAGACATTTTGATTCAGATGCAGTTGGTGGAACCAGAAACACACAACGAGAACAAAGTGCTTTTAACTTTAACTCTTTATTAAGGAAACCCAGCCATGACTTGCCTGCCTGTCCCTCTACTGCCTGTCCCTCTACTGCCTGTCCCTCTACTGCCTGTCCATCTACTGGCTGTACCTCTTACTGTCTGTCTCTCTACTGGCCTGTCCATTCTACTGCCTGTCCCTCTACTGCCTGTCCATCTACAGCCTGTCCCTCTACTGCCTGTCCCTCTACCGCCTGTCCATCTACTGCCTGTCCCTCTACTGCCTGTCCATCTACAGCCTGTCCCTCTACTGCCTGTCCCTCTACCGCCTGTCCATCTACTGCCTGTCCCTCTACTGCCTGTCCATCTACTGCCTGTCCCTCTACTGCCTGTCCCTCTACTGCCTGTCCATCTACTGCCTGTCCCTCTACTGCCTGTCCCTCTACTGCCTGTCCATCTACTGCCTGTCCCTCTACTGCCTGTCCATCTACTGCCTGTCCCTCTACTGCCTGTCCCTCTACTGCCTGTCCATCTACTGCCTGTCCCTCTACTGGCTGTCCATCTACTGCCTGTCCCTCTACTGCCTGTCCCTCTACAGCCTGTCCATCTACTGCCTGTCCCTCTACTGCCTGTCCCTCTACCGGCTGTCCATCTACTGCCTGTACCTCTACCGCCTGTCCATCTACTGCCTATCACTCTACTGACTGTGCCTCTACAGCCTGTCCCTCTACTGCCTGTCCCTCTACAGCCTGTCCCTCTACTGCCTGTCCCTCTACTGCCTGTCCCTCTACGGCCTGTCCATCTACTGCCTGTCCCTTCTACTGCCTGTCCCTCTACTGCCTGTCCATCTACTGCCTGTCCATCTACTGCCTGTCCATCTACTGCCTGTCCCTCTACTGCCTGTCCATCTACTGCCTGTCCCTCTACTGCCTGTCCCTCTACTGCCTGTCCATCTACTGCCTGTCCATCTACTTAACCGCCACCGATCGGTTCAACCTCCCTGTCTATCAACCTCTGTGTCCATCAACATCTGTGTCCATCAACCTGTCTATCATCTATTTCTAGTTTTCCAGAGGCCTTGGAGTGACACTGTGTCGGCGGACGCTCTGGCCGACGGGGGTCATTGCTCCTCACCGCTCTGACTTGTTGTTGTTTACTTTCGTGATGATGATTTAGGGTTCCTGTGAGATGAAGAATAAAGTAGCCTACATTAGCGATTGAGAAAAGTACTCGACTGATTAAAACGTATACGACTGAATAAAAGTGTAATAAAAGTGTTTATTAACTTGAAATTTTATTCATAATAAAAAAACCATTGATACATGTGTTACTTTGTCGTGTGAATCAGTTAAAACAATAGTTGTGTGTTTTGTTTTGCTCTTGACGTCACTATGTAACTCCGCCCAGCCAAAAAACACCAACACAGAATGGTGCCGCCCATGTCCTGCATGTTGGTTTGTTGTTTGTTGTTTGTTGTTGCTCTTCACCCCCCGGACTGAAACCCCGCAGCTCTCTGCGGCCAAGAGCTCCTGTCTCAGCAGGAAGTGACGTAAAAATCGCCGTTGGCCAATCCGCGGCGGCGACACCAAGAGCGGACGCAAGACCCGCCCCCAGCCTTCTGAAACCGAACGCGCCCGAAGAAGAACCGTGCGAACCAGTCCGCGCTCTGCAGGAGAAGGTAAGACGAGCCCGCCCGGGTCCACACGCCCGGGCCCGTTCCGGGGGAGCGCTTGGCGTGTGACCGCTGGCTGCCGCCAGCGCGCGGTGCAGAAAGACAGTTGGTTGCAGACGCAACGCGGCTGAGGGAGCTCGCGGCAGCAGGCGGTACCGGGCTCACGGACCGGTTCCGGTGCCTCCGCTACCCGGGATCAAGTGCAACTGGTCCGCCTATTGTGCCTCTTCCCACCCGGGAGAAAGTTTTCCTCCAGGCGGGACACGAACACTCCTCCTGCGGGGAAAGAAACACAAAGCCCGGAGAGGAGGCGGCGGCGCGCAGCGCCCTCCCGCGACCGCTGCGCGCCGCCGCCTCCCGCGCACCGTTAACACGTTTATTTAATGTAATTACAAGACTTCCCTCCAACTACCGCCCTGTTTTATACGTTTATTTGATGATGACGGTGAGGTTAGAGGTCAGAGGTCGGTGTGATGCTGACCCCTGCTGGTTTCCGTAGTAACATGGACACGGAGTTGTTTATGGAGTGTGAGGAAGAGGAGCTGGAGCCATGGCAACAGGTGGCAGACAGCGTGGAGGAAGACGACATAGACTTCATAGACAGCTGTTGCGAGCCAGGTGACCCGCGCGCACACACACACACACACACACACACCATAACACACGCACCATAACACACACACACACTAACTGCTGCAGCTGTCTGTCTCTAGGAGAAGATTCTCTTCTTCCAGCCTCTGAGACTCCGCCTCCCGGGACTCCGCCTCCAATCCCTCCCCCCACAGGTACCTGTCTGTCTGTGCGAGCGTATGCACAAGGGGGCGGGGCTTGTCTTCACTTCTGCTCTCGCCCGCAGCTTCGCCCCTCGTACAGATTCTGCGCTCCCCTGCGAAGCCTCCTCTTCCTCCTCCTCGCCCGCGTCCGTCCTTCATCACCTCTTCTCGCCCCGCCCCGTCCTCCACACCTGCCTTGGCCCCGCCCCTGATGGCTCAGGCCCCGCCCCTCTTCCTGACACAGACAGGTGGCACGTTCCTCCTCCCAGCGGCTCCCGGAACGCCCCACTGCCAGCCTGTCCTCCTCGCCACACAGGAACAGAAATCAAACGCACCTCTATGCAGAGCTCTCATTGGTCAGCGCTGTACTCGGACTGGGTTCACCCTTTAATGGACAGACGTACATGTAAACACCAGTTTCACTCCAGACGTTCATTCAAATTCCAGTTTCGAGCCAATGGAAACACGGGCAGATTTACTCGCTACGATGAACTAGATTGATTGTTGTGTGATGTCACTGTGATGTCACGTGTTCCCCTGCAGGGCTTCCCAGTGATGAAACGCGGCGCCCCTCTCCTGCTGAACCTGCAGCCGGGTCAGACGGTCCAGCCGCTCACGCTGATCCAGTGTAGGACCCCACTAATCAATAAGTCACGTGACACCTATTGATCCGCTCACTGTCTCCTATCGCCTCCCACCCCCACAGTGCAGTCACTGGGTCAGCTGGTCCGGCCCAGCGTGGGCGTGTCCCCAGTCCATCAGGTGGTCCAGGCAAGAGCAGCCCCCCCCCCTTCACACGTCCCTGGCACCGCCTTTACCGCCATCAAGCTGCCGACTGCGCTGAGCTCCCGCACCGGCACGCCAGCGCCCGGTCCGTCACGCCACATGTGATCGCAGCCGATTGGTCCATCAGGTCGGGTATTGATTATGGATCTTTTTTTTTCTTCCTCCAGTTAACCATCAGATGACTGAAGTGGGCGGAGCCAACTGTCTGAAGATGGCAGCTTGCCCCGCGCTCCCCTCTGGATCGGCCAATGGCGTCGCCCGAATCTCTCCGTTCAGCAGCGGTACGACGTTGGTTCTGATTGTGAGGCACTAATGAAGTACTGAACTTACTTCACTTCCATTTGCTACAGTTGATCTTTATATTGATTATTTATTAAAAATAATAGATGACTTTTTATTATTTTAGATTCTAGATTAAACACTTATTTAAATATATTACTGCAAACTGGATTCAGCAGCAGAGTTATTGAAATGCTGCTGGACGTTTATTGTGAAGGAGGTACAGGAAGCGTTGGGGGTCTCACCTGACGCCAGCTGGTCCACCTGTGAACAATCACTTTGTTGCGTTGCCACGGTTACCAGCTGTATGGCGGCAAATCACTGTCAAAATTGGAGAGCGCAAATCAGGTTGATGCTCACGCGTAAATCAAGCATCCGCGAGCAAAAGTCCGTCCTGCCCGAAACGTGACCTTTCAATGCGGATCGATTTTTGGAAAATCTGAAAAATATGCGCACGCTCCTCCATAGCTCGGTGAAGGACGCATCGGCCTCAATGTGCCGTAGTTTAGACTTTGTCCCCGTTAGTGCGGAGAAGAGCTTCTATGGTTGAGTGAGTGCATCACTCCAGCCAGAGACGCGGTTTGTAACCAATTAATGTGGATACCATGGCGACTGGCTCCGCCCCCTGGTGACTGGCTCCGCCCCCTGGTGACTGGTAAAAAGCGAGCGCGTAGAAAACACCTTGGAGCGCGAGCAGAGAAGCGAGGAAGTATCTGGCTCAGGACGGACTTCTGCTGGCGGACGTTTGATTTACGAGCATCAACCTGATTTGACCTCTCGAATTTTGACAGTGATTTTCCGCCATACGGCCGCCATGACAGTTTCTGCGTGTCACCTGATCCCTGCAGCTCCTGACCCCGCCCCCTTTGCCTCCGCGGTTCCCGCCCACTGCATGACCCCATCGCTGACCTCCAACCCTCACAGGGTGGTGATGAGCGTGGAGGAGTTCTACTACGGGACGTTGGAGGGCGACCTGAGTCTGAGGAAGCCGCTGAGGATCAAAACCTCCTTCACCTGCCAGATCTGCACCTACCGGGCCGAGAACAACCTGAGGTCCCCCCCCAACCCGAACATGTTTAACTCTGCACCCGTACACCTGGGAAACTACACACCTGAGCGCACAAACACACCAATCTATGTGTGTGTGTGTGTGTGTGTGTGTGTGCAGGTTGATGCAGCACATGCTCCAGCACTCCGAGTTGGTTGGAGGAACAAGTGAAGACAGGAAGTGCTGCAGGTTCTGTTACCGTCAGTTCTCGTCTCCGTCTCAGCTGCAGAGCCACGAGGAGCAGGTGCACGGCCCCGCCCCCTCCGCCTGTAAGACACCTGGTCAAACAACCAATGCAGCTTCCTGTCGGTCTTCTCTTGGGACGGGAGTCACGTGTTCTGTTGAAGACGACCTGGAGAGTCACGTCTTTGTGTGTGGAAGTCGCTGGTTGCTTTATTTATTGATCATAGACTTTATTGCCCCGTGCATCCACACTGCTGCTCTTCATCAAGGACACATTTGTCCCGTATTTTCCTCCACGACTTTGTTCCCTCGTTGGTGGAGATCTCCCTCCATGAATCAGAGGCCGTCCGGCGTCCTCATAGTCCCCAGTGACGGCTTGTACAAGCGCTCATATTTACACATTTCTTCCCACAGGACGGAGACAGAAACGTACCAACACACAAACACAGCAGCTGGCAGCGACGCTGCAGAGGGAACTGTTCCCTTTACAGTCAATTAGATAAAACCCACAACGTGTGTCTAAGGACACTTTGTATTACAACACACACAACAATTAAGACTCTTCAGCCACTTCAAACTAACAACAGCTTTCACGCACAAAGAAAAACGTGGAAAAAGACTCACATGACGTAACTTTACAGACATGAATGATGATATGATATAAACACTATGAGGAGCAGCTTTGGCACAGACTCACAATAAGTTAAATAAAATTGCGTCGAAAGCGACGCAAGCCTAGAAAAATGTCTCGACACACGCAAGGAGGCAAGGACGCAAGGACGCAAGGAGGTGTGAAAAGCGCTCTGAAAACGCAGCATAAACCAGGCTTCACCGTCTCTCTCTGTCCCTGTCTCTCTCTCTGTCCCTGTCTGTCCCTGTCCCTCTCTCTGTCCCTGTCCCTGTCTCTGTCTCTGAGGTTTGTGTCGTATCTGTGAGTGGGCGTTCGAGAACGAGCCGGCTTTCTTGAACCACATGAAGTCCAACCACCAACCCGGAGAGATGCCCTACCTCTGCCAGGTGGGTTTCAGCCGTTGACCTCCGACCCGTGTCCCCTCGTGCCCCTTTAACCCAGCTGTGTCTTGCAGGTGTGTTCCCATCGCTCCTCGTTCTACGCCGACATCCTGCAGCACTTTGCCAGCTTCCACAGAGACTCTGGCTTCCTGATGTGCCTCTTCTGCCTGAAGGTGACCAGAAACCCCGTCAGCTACCAGCAGCACCTGTCGAGACACCAGGTGACCTCACACACACACACACACACACACACACTCATTATTAGCCAACAAACAACATCCATATGATACATCTCTTCCTTCCCAGATGAACCAGGCGTTCCACTGCAACAGGTGTCGCCTTCAGTTCATCTTCCTGAAGGACAAGATGCAGCACAAACAGGAAAACCACCGCAGCTTCCGTCGTCCCGCTGAGCTTGAAGGGCTGCCCCCGGGGTCAAAGGTCAGACCCTTTTGCCATCATCCCTAAATATTAAGACCTGACCCCCTTTCATCCATTCTTATTATTGATCTATGTGTCAGCAGGTGACAATCAGGACCTGTGGGAAGATCAGGCCTCTGCTCCAGAGCCCCGCCTCCCTCATCCAGCCAATCAACATCAAGAGTGAGACGTCTCCGCTCCACAGGAGTCCCGCCCTCCTCAGGTCATCGCCACCACGCCATGTCAACAGGTCAGCCCGATGAGTCTCACATTAACCATCGCAGGTGAGACTACGGTCAACAGCCACAGGCCAACATCTGGTCTCTTTGGTACTTGCAGGTCTTCGGGCGGTGGCGGGGACCACCTGGTGTGTTTGGAGTGTGGGAGCCGTGTGCTGGACTTCTCGGCTCACTACCCGACCCACGTCCGGTGTCTGCTGTGTCCCTACAGCAGCTGCTGCTCCAGAGCTTACGCCTCCCACATGATCCAGTAAGATGCCACTGATTAAGAGTTAAAGTGTAGATTTATATCTTTCTGAGTTCTTGTCATGACGGACCATGTTTACCATGTTTACCATGTTTATAATAGTCATGTGAAGAGCATGTACGTGGCAGAAGGACTTATCTCTATGCAAACATCATCAAACCAGTGTTTCCCCCACAGACCCCTTCCACCTGAACAGGTCTGTGATATAAACAAATTAACCCCCCCCCCCCGACACGTGCACAAATGCGTCCGTGTATGTTCACAGGAGCAGACGACTACCCCCCCCTGGCCAAACTGTCCGTTCAGCAAACTACGTTACATCACATGCCGTTTAGCTCAAAAGAACAAGACACAAAGTGCTATTTCATGAAATAAGCTGAAAAATACTTGGATGGATTCAGTGATGTCATAGGGATTCTCTCAATGCTGATTGGCTCTCCTCTGGTGCTCTCACCATGATTTGACGTGTCAACGTTCTTCAGCTTTGTCTCTGATTCTGATTGTTGTTGTTGTGGTTTTCAGTCACGTGCCGCGGACCAAAGACCGAGTCCTTCCCCTGCACAGACGCTGTCCTCCATGGTGAGACTCCCGTCCTGTCCAGGTGTCCCACCTGCTGCTGTCGCGCTTCTTTACGACAAGGGGATGTTGGTTTGATCTTCTTTAATCCAAATGTCTCGCAATCTCCAGGTGGATGTTACAGGTGTAACCAATGGTACAGCTGTTACAGGCATCACAGGTGTTACCAATGGTACAGGTGTTACAGGTATCACAGGTGTAACCAATGGTACAGCTGTTACAGGTATCACAGGTGTAACCAATGGTACAGGTGTTACAGGTATCACAGGTGTAACCAATGGTACAGCTGTTACAGGTATCACAGGTGTAACCAATGGTACAGCTGTTACAGGTATCACAGGTGTAACCAATGGTACAGCTGTTACAGGTGTAACCAATGGTACAGCTGTTACAGGTATCACAGGTGTAACCAATGGTACAGATGTTACAGGTATCACAGGTGTAACTGATGCTACTGGTGTCGGCCATGTTACAGATGTTACTTGTTACCATTCAAGTGAATCATGAGTACTAATTTGCTGGAATTTGGTTAAACAATCATGTTGTTATTGTTGTTATTGACCTCCACACTAACCTAAAGTTGTTCCTGTGTTTCAGTGTTTACCTGTTGTGCTGCTCTCAGTGTGACTTCAGCCCTCAGACCGCTGATCAGATGGCTAAACATCTACTGAGGAACCCGCTGCACCACAGCGCCACCTGCAGGCCACGGCGTAAGAGACACAATTCAATTTATTTGAATTCTATTTTGTAGAAATGACAAATCCGCCTCAGAGGGCTTTACAGTCTGTGCACATCCGGCATCCTCTGTCCAGAAGCCCTCACATCAGCACAGGAGAACCTCAGTGAGAACTAGGGCTTGACATTAGCACCGTTTGAGATCGTATGTCCCTCCAGTGTTGCCGCAGATGCAAAAGTGTGGTTGAGGGATTATTGGTGTTATTAATGTGCCCTGAGTGCATCATCCACGAATCCAGCACGCTCGATCGCGTTGGTGGTAGCCGTGGTTCTTGTGCACCAACTACGAACCGCGACCTGAGCGTGCACGTCCTTAGCTTAGCTTAGCTTAGCTGTCTCACTTTAGCCATCAGGTGGTATCCGCGCTTCAGAGAGTTAATGAAGCGCGGCTGGTTAAACGTGTGCTTGGAGATGAAGACCTGTTTAACAGCTTGGAGCTGTTTGCAGACGGAGTCCATGTGGAGCAGGTCCACATAATAAAGTCACTGCAGGTTCTCAAGCCTCACACGTTGACTGTGAGACACGCGCATTTCAACCAGCTCACACGCCACATCGTGGGAAGGAAACGCAAAACAAGTTGTATCGTGCACGAATTCCCTCTCGCCCACCGTACGCTCGTTACTAAGCAACAGACACGTGACCGCTGGAGGCTTTTGGAACGACTTGAGGACACAGAGCAGGTCAGACACAGAAGAGGAAAACTGGTGATGAGACCAAAATAGAAGAGGAGACAAAGGAAAGACTGTGGGCTTGACTTGGCTGGTTTACACGGAAGCCCATTTCCCACCAAACAATTAAGGGTTAGAGTTGAAATTAGGAGATAAAACGTCAAAATGATGACTTAAGATATGCACATGCGCAAGCTCCTTCATAGTTCAGTACTGTGACTTTGCAAACCAGTGGCGGCTTGTGGATTTTTATTGGTCAGTTTCAGTAAACATTCCAGTATGATTCAATGCAAAAAGGGTATCAAACACCCATTATTACTTTGCAGTTAAATATTTAACATTTTTTCCAACAGTTTAACATATTATGGACATATTATTCAAACAATCCAGTATATCAATTAATATATACATAACTATATCTATATATAAAACAGTATTCAGAATATGACATAACTACCATATCGTAAGTATTATAAATATAAATATATTTATATAAAATCTTTTAGAACATGTGTATATATAGATATGAACTCACCTAAAGGATTATTAGGATCACCTGTTCAATTTGTATATATACACATGTGTGTATACATATCTATGTGTGTGTATATATATATATATATATACTTCACTGAGCTTTCACTGTTGCAGTAAGAAACTTAATATTTAGAGTGATAGAAAGCTGGCTGACCTCCAGCAGGAGGAGCTGTAGCTCCGTCAGAAACACTTTCCTGTGACCTTTTTGTATCTGTACTTTTCTAGAAATGTGAAAGAATATCTTATGAGGTGGAGTTCAAACGTGATGTTTTTCATTGCAGGCTGCATTGAACCAGACATCCAGTTCTGCCTCCAGAAAGAGCGGCGACCCGCAAGTGGAGAAGAACCGGTCCAGAGTGCAGACCTGCCCAATCCGTCCTGGAGGTCAGCGAGTCGATGGAAACTGCCGTCGGAGAGCGAGGAGTTTGCTCCCGTGCTCCCGTTCCAGCAGAGCACCGGACCGCACCACTTTCTGTCAAAGAACACCGACGCCATCGACTTCTTTCACCTGCTCTTTCCTCAGGAGCTCACGGAGCTAATCACCAAGGAAACCAATGCCCACGCCAAGACCTGCCGCTTCATGGGCCTCGGCTACTCGGACTGGGTCCCCACCACCGTGCACGAGGTCAAGGGCTTCCTTGGCCTAGTCATCTTGATGGGGCTCCACAACCTCCCCGACCCGTCACAGTACTGGTCCTGGAGCCACTACGACAACAGCTACGCCTTCTATCGCGCAATGAGCTTCAAGCGCTTCCAGCAGATCACCGCCAACATCCGCATGGGCAGCTTCGCCACGGAGCAGCTCTGTGGAACCAGTAACCCCAACGACCCGCTGCACATCTTCAGGCCGATGCTGCGCCTCCTGGGCGCCGCCATGTGGAGTGCCTACAAACCAAACTGCTGCCTGTCCGTGGACCAGGCGCTGCTGCCCGGCCCCGATGAGGCGGGCTCAAAGACCCGGCCCAAGGCATGGCTGCTCTGCGACTCCAAGTCCGGCTACTGCCACCGCTTCTTCATCCAGGCAGGGGAGGGTGAGGGCCTGGGGCAGGGCTTCACCGTGGTGCCAGAGCTGGTGGAGGACCTGGAGGACAAACACCACCAGCTCTACCTGGCAAGTTCGCTGGCCTCCGTCCCGCTCATGCAAAAGCTTTTGGACCTGGGCATCTACGCCTCCAGCTCCTTTCCCCCGCTCAGCCCCGTCTTGCCCCGGGAGTTGTGGGAGGAGGGTCACCTGGAGCGACCCGGGGACTTTCTGCAGAGGCGGTTTGGCTCCCTGCTGGCCACCCGCTGGAGAGACACCAAAGAGATGGGCTGCCTGTCAACCAACGCGGCCCCTGGCGAGCAGGACACCGTCTGGAGGAGGTCTCAGACCAGAGTGGGCGGACTAGACCCTGTGGACCGCCCCATGGCCTTCTGCCTCCTGCAGGAGAACATGCGAGGTGTTGACATCTGCAAGCAGCTGCTGGCCTGCAACCCGCTGGGAGGAATCCTCCAGGACCGACACTGGCGCGGCCTCTTCTGGTTCCTGGTGAACCTGAGCATTGTCAACGCCTTCATCGTGCTGCGGGAAAGCCGCAAGGAGAACCCGCCAGCCTGGGTGCAGGACGGCCTCTTCACGCAGGTCAGCTTCCGCAAGCGCCTGGGCAACCAGCTCGCCAAGTGTGCTCAGAACCACTCGGAGACCGTGGAGATCGCCGGCTCCCGCGCAACCAGGGCAGAGGCGCCAGTGGAGCAGAGGCACCGCATGGGTAAGATTAGCAGCATCTCCAAGAGATGCAAGACCTGCCACCTGAAGAACCTCCGGCACGAGAGTGTCTACGGCTGCGTCGTCTGCAGGGCGAACCTGTGCAAACACCCCAGCTGCTTCTGGGAGTTTCACGGCCTCTCACCCCGGAACAAAGGTCAGTGATTCAGAGGGTGAGGAAGGTTGTTTATGACCCGTTCTTGGGGTTTTACATGATTTAAAGATGCGTGTTTTGTTTATTTACAAGGTTCAACAAGAGTGGGATTCATCAAGGACAGAATCAGGTAATGTTTTTACGCTCAAACGTTTAATACATCTTTTGGCTCCAATGAGTTCAACATCTGAATCCCTTGTGTTGCAGCGGTGATGTCACGGTGAAGGAGGTCGAGGACAATGTGGACGGGGCCATGGCGCCCGTGGAGGACTTTGATTTCTCTGACAACGACGTGGACGACATAGAATATGACGACGTCGACGACATCAAGGAAGAGCTCGTCGAAGAAGTAAAGCCCCTGACATCTCGCCCATCGTCAATGACGACCAAGGGGGCAACCGCCTCATCTGTTGGTAAAGACGATTTCCTCACCGCCCGCAAGCTCCGCGTCGCCCTCTCAGCCCTGTGTGACGGAGTACGCCAGGCCTCCAGGGTGTTTCTCACCGAGCCGGGCCTCATCCGGTCCTGGCTGCGGGAGGCTGGGAGACGCCAAAGGTCAGCCGCGCAGGAGCGGCCCAGGACGGACGGCGATGGCGCTGCCCGCATGGTGGCCTGGGTGCTGTCCATGCGCGAGCAGCAGCTTCCCATCACGGAGAGCAACTTCTTTCGCAAGGCCTCCGCGCTGAAGAAGAAGGGGGTTTTCAGCAACGCCTTCCGCATCTCCTACAACTGGGCGGTAGGCTTCATGCTGGAGCACCAACTGGGCGTCGGCAGCTCGCCCGGCGCAGCTCTGCCTTTGCCGCCTTCCCTAGAGGCCAAGGTCGGATCCTTCAGGGAGTTCACGCAGAAGGTCGTCCGGGCCAACGGACTCACGGACAGCGCCGTGGCCGCTATGGACGAATTGTGTCTATTTGTGGATGTACGGCTGGTCCAGGACAAGTCCCGGCGTTCTGAGGCGCTGGAGCTCACCGGGTCTCTGCCGCTGGTCACCGTGTACCTGGCGGCGCTGGCCGACGGGACCATGCTGCCGTCGATGATTCTGGCGAACCGGCAGATGTCTGAGAAGGTCCTTCCCGAGTTTATCCATACCGGACCGGAAGGCCTGCCAGTAGAAGAAGCCCTGGATCTGTGGACCAACAAAATATGGCTGAAGCATGTTTACGGGCCTGCCAGGCCCGGTAAATCCATGCTGGTCCTGGACCGGCACCGAGAGCACATGGGAGATCCCTTTCTCGCCATTATCAGCGGGGCGGGAACCCTGCCGGCCATGATCCCTGCAGGCTGCTCCTCCGGTCTTCAGCCACTGGAGGTCTGTGCGAGGCCGGTGTTGCAGCGTTTCCTGTTGGCTCGTTGGGCCAAGTTCATTGCTGGGAACCCGGAGGAGCTGGAGGAAACGGCGGCGCACCAGCTCCAAGCCAACGTGGCCCAGCTGCTGGTTGATTGGTTGGTCGAGGCACTGACACACTTAAACCAGCTTCCGCGGCTCTTGCAGAAGTCATTCTGCCTGTCGGGCCTTCTGCGAGAGGAGAACGAGGAGGAGCAGACGATGAGTCCAGAGGGGATCCAAGCGGACATCCTCAAAAGCCTGACTGAGATCCTGCTGGGGCCCGAGGCCTCGGATGACCTCCCCGAGCTGCTGGAGGATGAAGAGGACGCCGGCGAGGACCAAGGAGATTTACAGATGGCACCAGAGGAAGAAGAAGGCAAGGAGGTGAACGTAGAAAAGGATGCAATCAGAGGTGAGGAAGACAAGAAGGAGACAGGGGAAGACAGGGAAAAAGAAGCAGAGAAGCTCGAGGAGGACAGCGAGGAGGGAGGAGATGAGACAGCGGAGGACAGGAAGGAAGCAAGCAAGAGGAGACGTGAGACCAGGATCATGGTTGGAGAGGAAGTTGGCGACGAGTGGAAGATAACGGGGAAGAGCCGGGCCGACGGCGTGGAAGAAAGCTGAAGCAAAGACGGAGACGTGAAGTGGGCGGCTACGGCTGTGGCTCCACCCACAAACCCACCTGTTCAGGTCATCAAGCTCCAAATGAGCTGGAACACACATGTATAAAAATGAGATGTTGGACAGACGATGTGACTGATGATGGATTCTATTCCTCTTTAATAAAATAAATCTTCAGCTTTGGGTCTTTTTATTAGTGATGAAATGTTTAAATACAAATTAAAGTGCAGCCAAGCTCTCCGTCTTAAAGCAGCATTCTCTACTAATATAGAAGTTCGTCAGTCATCCTCTACACCGCTTACCTAAAGAGGGTCGCGGGGGTCAATGGAGTCCACACCAGCAGAGACCGGGTCCAGTGGACTGGCCTCCAGTCACATAGACACACAGAACCAGCACACGGGAAAGTTAAACCTTAGGCTGGAGCGTTTTAGATTACATTAGATTATGAGCTTGTCTCTGCACTGGGGGAGGAAGCCCGAGAACCCAAACAGCCTCCACCCAGAGAGGTGCTGGGGGATTTGAACCCAGGACCTTCTTCTGAGGACACAGTGCTAACCACCGTGCCACACCGGTCCCGTAGAGGTCTATGGGGAAATGACTCCACTTCTCTCTTGGTTTATTCCCTCAGTAAACATTGTAAAGTTTATGGTCTCTAGTTTCAAGTCTTCAACACAGCCTGATGGTCATTTAGTACATTATGGTCCATGAAGAGTCCAACATGGGCCGAGTCTCAACGCCGCTCGGCGGCCTCCTTCAGGACGCAGACGTCACTTCCGCTGCGACTCGTCCGTCCCAACCGTCGTCCTCCGAACGCGGTGGAGGGACGCAGTCCTCCAGGAGCCGTTTGGAGGACACATCCGACCTGTCCTTTGCGGACCAGCATATCCCAGCATGCAGTGCGGGATTTAATTTATTCAGGACCCGGGTCCATGTTCTGTTCTTCTGAACATCAAAGTACAAACACACATTTATAACAAACGAACCTGAAATATCACTTTCTGTCAGTAACGTTACAGAATAAATACAGAAGGAAACTGAACTTGTTTTGCTCCTTTTGTTTTGTTGTGTGATTATAAACTAACTTTACATTTAGTTGTGTTCAAGTTCTTCTCTCAGGCTGGAATATTTCATGCTCCGGAGGAGAAGCTTTTCTTCCTCAATACAATAAAATAAGATCTTCTTTTCCTGTACTTTGTAATTGTTTTGGCTTTGAAGGCTTTTTCTGTCAAACAGCAGGTTGCTCGGAGCTGCTGACGCAGGCAGGAAGTGACCCCCCAGGACAGACCGTCCCATGTCAGACCGTTTGGTTCAGCCTGTGCGGTCGTTGGAGGAGCAGCCCAGGTAGACCAGGCTGCTGAAGGCTGCAGACTACAAGGCTGCAGACTACAAGGCTGCAGACTAGCGTCTTTGAGACACAGCTGTGTTCTGTCAGTGCGTCCCACGTTCACTCACTGTGATCTATGACCTGATTGTGTATTTTATTCTTAGGCATGTTTATTGTTTGTTCCTGTGCTTTATTGGCTTTTGTGAGGTCACTTGTGTTTGTCCTTTTATCTGTTGTAAAGTGTAAAAAGGATACACACACATATACACACACACACACACTCTGAATGAGTCTCTGGTCTCAAATGGTTAATTAGGCAGAATGGGCATGTAAGCCCCGCCCCCTCTCCTCCCATTGGCTGTGTCCTGACCTGACGGCCCCCCTCCCATTTTTATGCACAGGGGTCCTGGTCTCACAGAGTCCAAACTGCCCAAAGCTTCAGGATCAGATCAGAACCAGAACCTCCAAAATGGGTGAGACCAGTTCTGTTTAATATCCATCACACTTCTGCAGAGTGACCTTTGTTCTGGTTGTTCGCTCTGACCTCAGATCAGTTTGCTGCAGATTGAAGCTTCACGGGAGAAACAAGTTAATGATACATTGTTACATTCACAGTTGTATATTATTACAATTATGTTGAGTTTGACCTGCAGAAACAAACTGGATCCTTCTAACTTTAAATGGGATTTTTTGCAGGATGATTTTTTTTATAGAAATGAAATAAAAGCAAAAAGAAGGATCGTTTCATAATTTGGTCTCTTAAATGTGAATAAATGTAAATCTCAGTTTCTCAATTTGTTAAACCGCCGTCTTCAAATTTCTCGTTTGTTCAATATGATAATAAATAAACAAATAATCATATTTAAATCTAAAAATGAACTGTTAATAAAAAACAGCGTCCTGCTCCTTTAAATGTGTGCGTGTGTGTGTGTGTGTGTGTGTGTATGTCCGCGTGTGTTATATAACACTCTAAAGGTCACATTAGTACAAAATAACCTTGAATCATAAGAATCAGTTCAGGAGGTAAAAAAGATCTTTTTCTGATTTTCTAATTTTTGCTTCTAATAATAATGCTGATGATGACAATGATAATAACAATAATAATATAACATGCTTAAATAGCATTCCAACTATTAAATTAATCATATTAATATAATAGTTGTATTATCAGTAATAGTAAACTAAATTAGGATATAAAAGTGTTTCATTCAGAGACATGCTATTTATTTAATAATCAAACGACTTTGAAATATACTTTTATATTTAACCCTTAACATGTGATCCACCTCCCAAAATGTAATAAATAGTAAGTATTTAATTATCCTGTAACTCAGATAAAAATATGGTTTTATTAATATTATTTTTCCTAAAAATCAAATAAAAACTACAAGTATTTTTATTTTATCTTTACAGACTGTTTTGGTAATAGTTTTGTTTTGTCATGAAACAACAAAACAGTCAAAAGAATACACAATAAGGCAGTAATAATATAAATACCTATTATATATGTGTATAACATGTACTGTTACTGCACGACACTGATAATACCTGTGTACTCCTACTGGACTTTTACTTGCATTAAAATTACTTACTTTACTTTTGAATGTAGTATTCATGTGATACCGTCGCGTTTAATTTGTGTGAAATATCACACTGCAGTACAGGAGCCCATCGGTGGGCGGGGCCTACATGTGGGCGGGGCCTGATTTCATAATCAAACATTAACTTCCAGAAACCTGTTTTCCACTCAAGAGTTTAACTACACTCAGTGACTCTATGCTGTACTCAGTGGGGGTAGAAGTACCTTTTACTCCAGTAATAGTAGTAGTACTACAGTGTAGGAGTGCCCTTTAACCAGTAAATATTCTGAATTGGACGGATTGTAATGAAACTTTGAACTGTATTGATCTCACTGGTTTATCAACAAACCCCATAGAACTGACTGTAGAGCTATGTTAGCATGCTAACATGCTAAGCTAAAGTCTGACCAGAGATTGTCTATAGGGAGTGACACAGATCTCAGACCTGTTACATGAAGACCAGACGGCTCCAAGCAACGAACCTAGAAGCCAGAACGTAAACCATCTCCAGCTTCTTTAAAGATAAGTCCAAGCTTCATGGAATGAAGCTACATTCCCTCTATGACAGCTGGACGCTTTAGGGCGGGGCTACGCGCTGACGGACAGGTCTCTAGACATGTACACCAGTCCAGCGATGATCACTTAACAGATGGCGGCGGCGCAGAATTCAAACTTCAAACATGAAGTTGTCGTCCTCTTATTTAAAGTGTTTTTTAAAGTTCATCACATTTGGTTGGTTGTGTTTCCTCAGCCAACTGTTCAGAATGTGGACCAGGGTACCGCAGCCCGCTGGACGCCATGAAGGGTGAGTCCACCATATTTACAAATAAAGGTACATATGTATAAAAGAATATACCTGAACATCTCCATGTCCTTCTGGCTGAAGGTCGTCGGGAGGAGATCGTTTACCTCCCCTGCATCTACCGCAACACCGACATCCACAAGCCGGACTATTTGGCCACCGTGGACGTGGACCCCAAGTCCTCCACCTACACTCAGGTGGGAGGAGTCGCTGGCTCCTCCAGTCAACCTTCTTCATCTGCTTCTCCTTCTTCTCCTTCTTCTCCTCCTTTGTCTTCCTCTCCTTCTCCTTCTGCTTCTGCGGTGGTTGATCCCTTTGGACTCTTTAAATTCCCAGTTCTTCTCTTGTCTTCGTTCTCTCAGCAGCTCTCTCCTCCCGCTGGAGAAGTTTTCGGCTCAGACGTCTTGCCGATGTTTCCTCTTCGGCATCATCTTCTTTGTCATCTTCATCTTCTTCTTCATAGTCCACTACATCTTTTTCTTCTTCAGCCTTCAGGTTTTCGGCTTTGTCCTTAGTGCGACCTTTCCATTTTGTTTTGCATCAGTTCTCCATATCCTCAGAAGAACAAACAGATTCTGAGGAGGAGCATTTTCTAAAACCTCTTCTGACCTGCTGTGACCTTTGACCTTCTGCCCACCCCCGCAGGTCATCCACCGGTTGCCAATGCCGAACCTTCGGGACGAGCTACACCACTCGGGCTGGAACGCCTGCAGCAGCTGCTTTGGCGACGCCTCCAAGAAAAGGAACCGCCTGATCCTCCCGGCGCTCATCTCCTCCAGGATCTACGTGGTGGACGTGGGGACGGACCCCAGAGCGCCTCAGATCCAAAAGGTACCCTGCTATTATCTGGAGGTCAAGGGTCAAATGAAAGATTGCCCTGAAGCACAACTTCCTGTTCATTGGTCTCAGGTTTATACAGGCAGAGGAATGAAGATTAGCTCGCGGCTCAGATAAGGAGGTCACCGCCCATCTCCTCGGCTCCACTGTGCACTAGTGCAGCAATGCTCAGACCTCTGAGGGCTCCTGGCTGCATAGAATGTTCTTTAAGGGGGTTAGGGGTCAATGGGGCCTCAGGGTTTTGCTGTTTCAGCCCCCCGACTCCAACCTATGAAAACAAGGCCTGTCGAAGAGACGCAGGGCCTGTTGTGCTGAAGAGGAGGAGGAGGAGGAGGGTTCATGCTGAGTTCAGTTTGGACAATGAACACTTTCCCAGCTGCTCTTGTCAGCTACTTGGCGTGGAACTGGGTCGGCGTTGAGGAGGAAGGAGAAAGTGTCTCTGTTTTTCTAATAAAAAAACTGCTGAGTCACAGGTCACTAACCCGGAGCCTCTGGTGAGACATCAGCATATCTAAGGTAGAGAGTAGTCACGCACTAGCGTGTACAACAGGACAGCTGTGATAGACACAGAGAGACAGAGGGACGGTAGATAAGAAGTGGATGTAATCCTCATGGTGATGTCTGATAGAGTTGTGGACGTGTCAAAGTATTGTCCTTTAGCTGATCGCCATCTTGTTTTTTATTGACCAGGAAGTCACAATATCTTGACTGAAGATGATGAAGAGACTCCGTGTGCGTCTCTTCAATCACGTGTGGCCCCGCTCATAACTTCATGTTTACAATGTTTACTGAGGGAATAAATCAGGAATCAGGGAACATTTATTGGATCTGACTTGGCGGTTGGTGCGTAACAGCAGACAGTACGACAATAGACGACAAGACAACAGTGCAAGAGGAATAAAATAAAACATAATGCTATGGGTTAGTAGTATAAGGCTATGGTTTAAAATAAAGGAATAAAAGTTAAAAATATTAAAAAATATTTAACTAAAAATCAAGAGAGAAGTAATTTTCTCATAGACTTATATGGGACCAGAGGAGTCATGACTTCACTTTAAAGAACAAGAAGTTGTCTCCTAAGCGTTACTCCTTTAGATCTTTCCACAGTTGATAGATAACTGTTATGGTTTTAATCATCATATTTTTACAGCTTCTTTACCGCTGGATGTAGCTGGTTGTGTCCAGTAAGGGCTTCTGTTTTTGAAAGTGCCTGCATGAGATGGACTTGTTATGGTTCTGCTTTCTCCAGGTGGTTGAGCCCATCGACATGTACTGGAAGTGCGACCTGGCAAACCCTCACACCACCCACTGCCTGGGCAACGGTCAGATCATGATCAGCTGTATCGGAGACCCGTCTGGCAACGGCAAAGGTGAGCTTACTAGCTGACCAGATCCTAAATCCTCTGTTACACATTCCCCCAACTGCTCAGTAACACTTGTTCCTTTCAGGTGGCTTCGTCCTCCTGGACGGGGAGACGTTCGAGGTGGTCGGTAACTGGGAGCACCCGGGCGAAGCAGCGCCATTCGGATATGATTTCTGGTACCAGCCCCGACACAACGTGATGATCAGCACGGAATGGGGCGCACCCAAAGCTCTGGCTAACGGTTTCAATCCCAACCATGTCAAAGCAGGTGAGTTGAGAGGAGACATCTCAGTGAGACCCAGTAAGTCAGTACCGCAGCGTGTTAGGTTTCTATTCCACTGAGACTCCAGTCAGTAGCAATCAGCCTCTAGATCCCAGTAAGACTTGAGTCAGCACCACAGAGTTCTGGATATCAGTAACACCTTAATCCGTGCAACTGGGTTTCTAAGTTTCTTTGCCAGTTAGAATCCAGTTGGTATCACAAGGTTCTTGGTCTCAGAAAATACTTTTTTTACAGGGACTTAAGGTAGTGGGTAGTTATAGATCCAAGAAAGGTTTTAGTTAGTATCACACGGTTCTAGATTAAAGTAAGGCTATAGTTAGTACTACAGGTTCTAGATTAAAGTAAGGCTATAGTTAGTACCACAGGTTCTAGATTAAAGTAAGGCTATAGTTTGTACCACAGGTTCTAGATTAAAGTAAGGCTATAGTTTGTACCAATGGTTTCTAGATTAAAGTAGGGCTATAGTTTGTACCAATGGTTTCTAGATTAAAGTAGGGCTATAGTTAGTACCACTGGTTTCTAGATTAAAGTAAGGCTATAGTCAGTACCACAGGTTCTAGATTAAAGTAAGGCTATAGTCAGTATCACAGGTTCTAGATTAAAGTAAGGCTATAGTTATTACCACAGGTTCTAGATTAAAGTAAGGCTATAGTTATTACCACAGGTTCTAGATTAAAGTAAGGCTATAGTTATTACCAAAGGTTCTAGATTAAAGTAAGGCTATAGTTTGTACCAATGGTTTCTAGATTAAAGTAGGGCTATAGTTAGTACCACTGGTTTCTAGATTAAAGTAAGGCTATAGTCAGTACCACAGGTTCTAGATTAAAGTAAGGCTATAGTTATTATCACAGGTTCTAGATTAAAGTAAGGCTATAGTTATTACCACAGGTTCTAGATTAAAGTAAGGCTATAGTTATTATCACAGGTTCTAGATTAAAGTAAGGCTATAGTTATTACCACAGGTTCTAGATTAAAGTAAGGCTATAGTTATTACCACAGGTTCTAGATTAAAGTAAGGCTATAGTTATTACCACAGGTTCTAGATTAAAGTAAGGTTATAGTCAGTACCACAGGTTCTAGATTAAAGTAAGGCTATAGTCAGTACCACAGGTTCTAGATTAAAGTAAGGCTATAGTTATTACCACAGGTTCTAGATTAAAGTAAGGCTATAGTTAGTACCACTGGTTTCTAGATCTCAGTAAGACTCTCATTGTTACACAGTCGATGGGCTCTAGGCCCCTATGCCAACAACAATGGTAATGCTGCTCGGGGGCTGTTCCAAATCCAATAAAATATCCCAACATCTTTCTGCCCTGATATGCAGTAACAGTCATTGGTTTACTGTTCCAGGACTCTATGGGAGCTCCATCCATGTCTGGGACTGGACCACTCACAGGAAGCTGCAGACACTGGACCTGGGTGAGGAAGGGGCCATTCCCCTTGAGATCCGGTTCCTTCATAACCCAGATGCTACAGAGGGCTACGTGGGATGTGCTCTGCGGTCTGTCGTCTTCAGGTTCTACAAAACGCCGGTCAGTACCACAGGGTTCTCGACAAAGTAAGACTATAGTTAGTACCACAGGGTACACTTGTGACACATTGCATCACATCACATGTCATTTGACGATTTTATCCAAAGTGATTTACAATAAGTGCATTTCAACCATAAGGAAACAAACTCAGAAGAGCAAGAAACAAGAAAGTGCAATTTCATCAAATAAGCCGAATTACAACTTTCTGTAGATAAGAACCATTATACAGTTGTGGTCAAAAGTTTACATATACTTGTAAAGAACATAATGTCGTGGCTCTCTTAAGTTTACAGTTATTTTTACAAATCTTGTTTTTCTCTGATAGAGTGATTGGAACAGATACTTCTTTGTCACAAAAAACAAAAAGTTTGGTTGTTTTTTTGTGCTACAGTTAGTTAGTGTGTTAGTGGAGGTAGAGTCTGAAGAGGTGTGTCTTTAGTCTGAAGATGTGAAGGCTCTCTGTGGTCCTGATGTCTTCAGAGACCTCCTTCCACCATTTAGGAGCAGGATTGATAAAGAACCACTAACCTAAATGCTAATTTTAGGACACTAATGCTAGCATGCTAATGTTTGCATTTAGCTGAAAGCACAGATGACTGTTACTTGCCATGTGCCTTCAGGAAGGTGACTGGGCTGCAGAGAAAGTGATCAACATTCCTAACAAGAAGGTAGAGGGATGGATCCTACCTGAGATGCCTGGTGAGTCTGTGTGGCCGATTCTCATAACCTGGAACTCCTGGAACAGACTTGTTCTCTGGAGACCCGACTCCCAGATGTCCTGCTAACTACACCTCACATCTCCCTTATCCTTAAGTTAAGAAGGCTCAATGTTGACTAACTGACCACACAAATGTTGCTAAACAACAACTAACTGAAAAAGTACATTCTGTAACTTAAATATAGTAGTACTTGTTTATTTTCCTCCGCCATTGTTGCCTGTTGCTGAGGTGAAATGCATTCTGGGATATTTGGCTCTCACAAGAACGAACGAGTCTGCTCCAATGTATCAGGGCATTTTGACCGTTCCTGCCCTTCATGAGGACCAGTGTTGGGAGTAATCCCACTACTTTTAACGTTACGAGGATGTAATGAAGTATTTTTTTAAATCAAGTAACGCAGTTACAATTACTGAAATTTACAGGTGTACATTATCGCTCAATAATACACTGTGGCTCACTCTCAACCAATCAGAACGCTGGATTACATCTATTAGAAATAAGAAGCATTGAACCACATCACGGCGACAGTGCGGAGAGATTCTCCCCTGGAAGTCTGGACATTACTTTTGCTCGTCGAAATTAAAATTAAATGTAGTGGTGAGTTGTAAATGATGTGCATCCGCACCAAGAGGAGCCATTGAAGTCTTCTGTTGTAACGACGCGCTTCCACAAAGCGAGTAGCGAACGGCCGCAGACCTGCGGATGCTGACGGCGCCGCTTCGTGCGAACAAACAAGAATCCACTTTACGGACTGCAGGCAGCGATGAGCCGGCAGAGCTGAACACGTTGATTACATCCTGTCAACGGCTTCAGTCAGTGGCCTTCAGATAGTTATTTTCTATTAAGTTAAGTATTAAAAGGGGCTTTTGTACTACTGCTTGATTGATCAGAACACTACGCCTGCAGAAGGATCAGGCATTTAGGAGTGGGGACAAAGACGTGTACACAAGTCAAAATACAAGTTTAGCAAGGCGGTGAGAGACGCTGAACGACTGTACTCTGAGAAACTCCAACAACAGTTCTCAGCAAGTGACTCTGCTTCGGTTTGGAGACACCTCACCAACTACAAGCCAGACGAGCTGAATGAGTTCTTCTGCAGATTCGAAAGACAATGTCCTGATCCCGTCCCCCCACAGCTCCACCAGCCTCCACCATCATCCCTGTTCCCAAGAAGCCCAGGATCACAGGACTCAATGACTGCGCTTGGATAAAAGCGTCCATGAGGGCACAAGGATAGAGGACACAAGTCCACGAGGACACATGGGGAAACAACCTGTCTGGCTGTCCGTCAGTCTGCCTGTTTAATTGCTTGACTGGTTTCCTGTCTCTCTGCTCAGGGCTGATCACGGACATCCTGATCTCGTTGGACGACCGTTACCTCTACTTCAGTAATTGGCTCCACGGTGACATCAGACAGTATGACATCACTGACAGCAGGAATCCCCGATTGGTCGGCCAGGTCTGAACGTTTCACCTGTCTGGTGACCCAACAGGTGAAAAGCTCAGATTGAGAACGCTCACCTGTGTGTTTTAGGTGTTCCTGGGAGGAAGTATCGTCAGCGACGGTCCAGTCAGAGTCCTGGAAGACCCGGACAAACAACCACAGCCCCGCCCACGCATCATCCAGGTACCACAGACAGGAGGAGAGTGAGACAGGGAGCTGTGTGAAAGGATAGGGAACATCCTGTCTTACATTCTCTGCTTTGTAAATGTTAAAAAGATATCTGTCTGTCATCCTGTCCACCTGTCTGTCTCTCAGGGCAGGCGTGTCCCTGGAGGTCCTCAGATGTTACAGTTGAGTTTGGACGGTCGTAGACTTTATGTGACGACCTCTCTGTACAGTGGCTGGGACAAACAGTTCTACCCCGACATGGCCAAGTGAGTACTTGTGTGGTACTGCAGAACGACTGCCTGTCTGTCCCTCTAATTGTCTCTCTCTCGCTCTGACTGCCTGTCTCTCTGTGCCTGTGTGCAGAGAGGGCTCAGTGATGATGCAGATCGATGTGGACTCTGTGGATGGGGGTCTCTCTGTGAACGAGGACTTTCTGGTGGACTTTGGTAAAGAACCCGATGGTCCGTCTCTGGCTCACGAGCTGCGTTATCCTGGAGGAGATTGTACATCTGACATCTGGCTTTAGACACGATCCACTAAGAATAAATCAATGGTGGATCAACACAGCCTCCTGAGTGTCACCTATAACTATGACGTTGACACATCCATCAATACATAAAATACATCTATGTCTACAGTTGTGTGAAAAAGTGTTTGCCCCCTTCCTGATTTCTTGAGGAAGGGAACTCAGGGGGAGTAGAAGGACTTAGCGTTCCGGATAAAGGGTCAAAGATGGAGGAGCAGTGCTGTTGGATCTGACACGTTGTTGCACCACCTTTCATCTTGCCGGAAGGTTCTGTGTCGGCGTTGCTGCTCTGAGCAGCTGGAATTAAGCAACACAACAATGAGACGACCCACAAAACATGACTGGTTGTGCATGTGGAGGCCAGTTCCTCCCTCTTGATGTCATTGAGTGGTTTTCTGCTCGTGCTTCACTCTCCATGTGGCTGAATTACAACGATTCTGCAAAGATGAGCCAGTTTTCACAAACGCTGGATTGCAGTTGTTGCTGCTCAGGGCGACCGAACCAGTTATTAGGGTTAGGGGGCAATCACTTTCTCACACAGGGTTTGGATTTTTTTCTCACCTTAATAATAAAAACTTCATTTAAAAACTACATCTTGTGTTTACTTGTGTTATCTTTGTCTAATATTTAGATTTGTTTGATGATCTGAAACATTTAAGTGTGACAAACATGCAAAAAATAAGAAATCAGGAAGGGGGGCAACTGTGTGTGTATATATATATATATATAAATGAAACTTTATTCTATAAATACATATATAACCTTTATTTCATGAGCCCACCCTCATGAAATCTGCTTCTGATAGAATTGGGCAGAGACGTTCACACCTGCTGCAGGTCTTACTTTAGGGCTCAAGCAGCAGTTCCTCAAAGCAGCAGATGTGGGTCCTGCTGATGGGTTGAGGACCTTCTTCGGCCCTGTCCAGCTCTCTCAGAGTAACTACCTGTCTCCTGGAGTCTCCTCCATCCTGGAGCAGACACAGAACCCTCCGGCAAGATGAAAGGTGGTGCAACAACGTGTCAGATCCAACAGCACTGCTCCCCCATCTTTGACCCATTATCCGGAACGGTAAACCCTTCTACTCCCCCTGAGTTCGCTTCTTTCATCCTCTTTGGTGTCTACATTCCTTCGGATGCCAACGTGCAGGACGCACAGCGGATGCTCGCCGACCGGATACTGTGTGTGGAGCGGACCGGTCCTGACTCCTTAGTTATTGTCCTTGGAGGAAACCTCAGCAATGAACTCTCCGAACACAAACAGCTAGTTAAATGCTCCTCCAGAGAGGAGAACCCTGCTACTCGCTACACCACATGCAGGGCCTGTATGTCCCGCTGTCCCTCTGAGCCACCCGAGTCCTGCACACAGGCAGAAAGCCAGAAAGTCAGTGGACCAGTGACCTCAGGCGTGTCTGGACTGTGGACTGGGATGTTTTCAGGATTGCTACCAGTAGTTTGGATGAGTACACAGAGGCTGTGACGGCATCCATCCGCTCTGTGGCCCGGGGAGCAATTAGGGTGTCAGGTGTCTTGCTCAGGGACACTTTGACATGGAACATGGGGCAGGCTGGACTCTAACCACCAACCTTGAGCTTCCCAGCACACCTTCTCTAACCCCTGCGCCACGACGTCCCCCCACATCCTCCACCACATCGACGCCTCTCTCTGTTCTGGAGAGGAACGTCAATAGATACTTAAATCACAGGACCCCCAAAAAAGCATACATTGGACGACCGGATATGAGTATGTATGTATGTACATGTCATGTCCGGTCCAGCAGGGGGCGGTACTGCGCCAGAAAGCGACCTGGACAGCAGAAGAAGTTGTAGCCGCTAGCTGTTGTTGTTGACATGACGATCAGAGAGAATCAATGGAGACAAACTGGACATAAGACATCTTCTCAGGCGGACTAAACGGTCACCAGGTAAGACGGGTCAGCTGTACACACGCCGCTATATCAAAGAGGGAACTTGCAACTGTCACGGGGCAAGTGATAGCTTAGCATGAGCAGCTTTTAAAGAACAAGCCGGCCGGAGTTAGCAACAGTTGGACTGATATTTTGCCGGCTAATGCTAAAGATAACTGGAGCTGCTCGCCCGACCAGGCACGAACGGTGCTAATTGGACCGGGTTCGGGTTACCTGTGTAAGGTTAGCTCGTTAGCTTTGCTTAGTTAATCTCTGAGCTAGCCAGCTGCAGGACAATGTAAATGTTAGCTGCGTCTGAGCTAGCTAACGTTAAAGTTCCTCTACAGTGCGCTAAGCTAAAGTAACTTTACACTGAGAGTCGCAGCTAATGCTAACGTCTTTAAAGGAAAAGCTAATGGACGCTCATGCGCTTTATTAATTGCACTTTCTTGTTTCTTGTTCCTCTGAGTTCTGAGTGTCCTGTGGTGGAATGCACTTATTGTGAGTCGCTTTGGATAAAAGCGTCAGATAAATGACATGTAATGTAATGTAATTATCAGTTAGTTAGCGCAAAGCTAAGCTAACATCAGTAGACCTGTTCAGACAATACCACATTTTATAATCAGTATTTAATGATTACACAACCCAGAGGTTAAACAATTATTGTATTGTAACACATTGGTGTAGAAATACTCCACGTGAATCTATGTGCATCTTAACATTCCATCAAAGTCCCAGTAAAAGTACATTAATGCAGTGGTTCTCTGTCGGACCCAACGAAGATCTGACAAAACGCTCCATGCTGCATTTTTATTGAAATAACGACATTTTGTGACTCCATGTGCTTTTATTAATAATAAATAAAGACAAGTTAAGTCACTTTCATGTAAACCAGATTGCTCCATCAGACCAAAACAAATACAATGTCAAATCACTTTGTTGGAACAATGCAAATAAAGTTGTGCATAAAAACAACAAATTTGTCAAATATCTTATTGTAACATGTTTTGTACTGAATATCTTTTCAGCATAATAACAATAAAGTTAAACAAAGTAGTAAGTGGACATAACTAAACAGGGCTGTGATGTTTTACAGTGCGGTTTGTGTCCATAGTTTGTGTCTCAGTGTCCTTGAGCAAGGCACTGAAGCCCAGTGCTTCACAGCAGCACTACTAAGGACGACTCAAACGCACAATAATATCCCCATGTGGGATTAATAAAGTATTATAAATAAAATAAGAATGATTTAAATCTACATTCCCCCTCGTGCCCCACCTGTAATTCCTCCGCGCCGCACAGAGAACCGCTGCATTAATGCGACCACTTTAAAGCTGCAGCTCAATCTAATGGGGTCAAATCATCTATAATATGACATCATCATTTATCAGTTGATTAATCATCTGAATCTGAGATCTGAAAAGATACTTAAGATGAAGAAACCGTTTTTATACTTCAATACAGAACTACTAAATGTTGTTAAAGTATTTAATCCTTCAACTGTGAAATAAATCTAATTTCAACAGAAACTAATTACAATAAATAATTTCAGGGGTTATGAGATTTAATGACATTCAACACAATCAATCAATGACATCATTAGTTAACTGTTCTCAGATCTGCTTGACGTGTCAGTTTGTATGTTCGTCCTTCTGTAATCTATTCAGTGGGATTACTGACACACACACACACACGCTGACACACACACACACACACACGCTGACACACACACACAGACACACACAGACACACACGCTGACACACACACACACGGACACACACACACGGACACACGCTGACACACACACACACACACGGACATACACGGACACGGACACACGCTGACACACACACACACACACAGACACACACTTACACACGGGACACACACACACAGACACACACACACACACACACACACATTCATCCCAGCTGTTGTCATATGACAATGATGAACTATAATCTTCACATTAATGAATTCATATTAATGAGTTTGATCTTCTCCAATAAACTAAAGAGTTTCTTTCCTCTTAGTGTTAAAAGACCTTTTGACCTTTGACCTCTCCTGTGTTTTAGTGGAGGAGGGTGGAGCTTCCCAGCAGTCACGATGGAGGACACAGAGCTGGAGCTTTCCCCCGCCCCCTCTGACAGCCAGCCTGCCTCCACCTCCTCCTCCCCGTCCCTCCCCTCCACCCCCTCCTCCTCCTCCTGCGCCCCCCCCCAAGCCATCACCCCCCCGCTGGGCGTGATCAGCGAGGGCGTGGGCGAACTCAGCCTGGTGATTGACAACGAGGTGGCCCAGCGGGCGTGTCGGGAGGTGCTGCAGAAGGTGAAGCTGATCCAGGTGGACGGCGACGACCTGCAGAACGGGGGGGCGGAGCCTGAGAAAGACCCGGAGCCCCCCCTGACCCTCCTGCCCAAACCGCCAAAGATCCGAGAGGAGACGGACGACCAAGAGGGCCCGTCCCCCGGCTCGGTGAAGAGTGCCCGGCGGCGGCAGAGGCACAACCCCTCCAAGCAGTCGTGGCTGCTGCGCCTGTTCGAGTCCAAGCTGTTCGACGTTTCCATGGCGATCTCCTACCTGCACAACTCGAAGGAGCCCGGCGTCCAGGCGTACATCGGCAACCGGCTCTTCAGCTTCGCCCACGAGGAGGTGGACTTCTACCTGCCGCAGCTGCTCAACATGTACATCCACATGGACGAGGACGTCGGCGACGCCATCAAGCCTTATGTGGTGGGTGTGGCCTTGGCAGGAGGGCGGGGCTTAGCAGCATTCGTTGGAATCCGTCTCAGATTGGACGTCTTTGTCGGACTAAAGGCCGACGCACCGATACTAGAGCTGTCTCTGTCTCTCTCTGTCTGTCTCTGTCTCTGTCTCTCTCTGTCTCGCGGGTTAAACCAACGACAACAATAAGCAACTGTTGATCCAGAGTTCATTCAGCGAATATAATCAATTATAGAATATTCGTTGACCGACGATGTCGTTACGCTGTGTGTCATCTTGGCTGGTTTCATTGTTCAGAGTAGTGAGCATATATAGTGCGTGACCTCTGACCCCTGCGTGCTGTGTCCAGGTGCACCGCTGCAGGCAGAGCATCTCCTTCAGCCTGCGCTGCGCCTGGCTGCTGGGGGCGTACTCCTCCGACATGCACATCTCCACGCAGCGACACTCCCGAGGCACCAAGCTGAGGAAGCTCATCCTGTCCGACGAGCTCAAACCCGCGGGCTCCCGGGCCCGCCGGGACCCCCTGGCCCTCACCACCTTCAGCCCCCTGGCGGCGCCCGGCGCGGGCGAGCACGGCCTGTCGCCCTCCAAGCGCACGCATCAGCGCTCCAAGTCGGACGCCACCGTCAGCATCAGTCTGAGCAGCAACCTGAAGAGGACGGCCAGCAACCCCAAGGTGGAGAGCAGCCAGGACGAGGTGCGTGTGTGTGTCTGTGTGTGTGTGTGTGTGTGTGTGTGTGTGTGTGTGTGTGTGTGTGTGTGTGTGTGTGTGTGTGTGTGTGTGTGTGTGTGTGTCTGTGTGTGTGTGTGTGTGTGTCTGTGTGTGTGTGTGTGTGTGTGTGTCTGTGTGTGTGTGTGTCTGTGTGTGTGTGTGTGTGTGTGTGTGTGTGTGCGTGTGTGTGTGTGTGTGTGTGTCTGTGTGTGTGTGTGCGCACGTTGGGGCAGAGCGGTGGAGGATTGTGGAGTAAAACGAGTTTCCTGAATCAGTGTTGTGTCTCTCAGAGGACAGACAGCAGGGAAGCGTCTCTCTGCAGCAGGCGTCCTCTAACATGTCCCCCGTCCCCCCTCAGCCGGTGCGTCTGGCGCCTCAGAGGGAGTTCATAAAGTCTCTGATGGGCATCGGGAAGCGTCTGGCCACGCTGCCCACCAAAGAGCAGAAGACGTCCCGGCTGATCTCAGAGCTGTCGCTGCTCAACCACAAGCTGCCGGCTCGCGTGTGGCTGCCGACGGCGGCCTTCGACCACCACGTGGTCCGCGTGCCGCACACGCAGGCCGTGGTGCTCAACTCCAAAGACAAGGTGGGTCCCTCTCACCCTGTAGGACCCCTTCAAATACAGAGGCGATGCCATCATGTGACCTGGGTCCACCCCTCAGGCCCCGTACCTGATCTACGTGGAGGTCCTGGAGTGCGAGAACTTTGAGACGTCCAGTGTTCCCGTCCGGATCCCGGAGAACCGGATCAGGAGCACGCGTTCTGTGGAGAACCTGCCGGACTGCGGCATGACGGCGGATCAGAGAGCCGGCAGCTTCTCCACGGTGCCCAACTACGACAACGACGACGAGGCCTGGTCTGTGGACGACATCGGAGAGCTGCAGGTGGAGGTGAGGGAGGAGATGTTTTAATGGGGGGGGGGCCCGGGGGGCGGCGGCTTACTGAATGCCCCTCGATCTTTCCTGCAGCTCCCAGAGATCCACACCAACAGCTGTGATAACATCAGCCAGTTCTCGGTGGACAGCATCACCAGCTTGGAGAGCAAAGAGCCGGTGTTCATCGCTGCCGGAGACATCAGGTCATCAGCACGCACGTTTAGCACCTGAGCTCCACCCGAGCACCTGTTTGTGTAGTTAATGTCTGCGCGTTGTAGGCGGCGCCTGTCGGAGCAGCTGGCTCAGCTCCGACCACCTTCAGACGGGACCCCGAGGACCCGTCGGCCGTGGCCCTGAAGGAGCCCTGGGAGGAGAAGGTCGGGTAGGTGGAGGAGACAGGAAAGCTGTTTCTAGATAAATGACAGTTGAGCGGTTTTCAGGACCAAGGTTTCCCTGCAGGAGGATCAGGGAAGGATCTCCTTACGGTCACCTCCCCAACTGGAGGCTTCTGTCCGTCATCGTTAAATGTGGAGACGACCTGAGACAGGAGCTGCTCGCCTTCCAGGTGCTGCAGCAGCTCAAGGTAACGCCGTGACATCAGCGGCGTCACGTGACCCAGACGCACCAATGAAACGCAGTCATTCTCCTCTCCGATGGACGTCACTGCCGTTGAAGGAGGTGGTTTGCTGCTGACCTATGAACCCCTTCCCCCTCCAGTCCACCTGGGAGCAGGAGCGGGTCCCCCTCTGGATCAAGCCCTATAAGATCCTGGTGTTGTCGTCGGACAGCGGGATGATCGAGCCGGTGATGAACGCCGTGTCCCTCCACCAGGTGAAGAAGCAGAGCCAGCTGTCTCTGCTGGACTACTTCCTGCAGGAGCACGGCGCTCCGACCACCGAGGCCTACCTGTCGGCTCAGAGGAACTTCGTCCAGAGCTGCGCGGGATACAGCCTCATCTGCTACCTGCTGCAGGTCAAGGACAGGTGAGGCGTCGCCTCCGCGTCACTCTGAGACGTTCCAGCGTTGCCGGTTAGTGACCTGATCCGTCCCCGCAGGCACAACGGGAACATCCTGCTAGACGCCGACGGTCACATCATCCACATCGACTTTGGCTTCATCCTGTCCAGTTCTCCCAAGAACCTCGGCTTCGAAACGTCCGCCTTCAAACTCACAGCTGAGTTTGTTGATGTGAGTCCAGGTTTTCATCAGTGGACCTTTAGGAGGTCCTCCATCATCTCTATTCCATAGATCTAATATCTATATCTATCTATAGATTAGTGCTGTCAGTTAAACGCAACGACGTTAACACAAACCAATTTTAACGGCGTCAATTTTATTCCCGCGACGTTAACGCTTTGTTTTTTTCCCTGAATGTTTTGCTTTAAACGTTGTGAAGCTACTTGATCCTGTTTGAGTGACAGTCCTACAAATGTCAGCTTACCAACATATGATCCAACATTAAATTCATTTACATCAACATGTAAATCGTCCACACAAACCCCTTTACCTGAAATGTGCACTTTTATTTTGTACTGACGGTTTAACAATGTTGTTTTTCAATAAAATAAAACATTTGCATAAAGAAAGTTAATCCACGTTTCCATGTTGATAAGAGCATTAAGATGAAAAAAAATAGTTAATGATGACATGAATAAATGACAAATTAAATATATATAACATTCCCTACATCTCCCTCAGGTGATGGGCGGTCCAGATGGAGACATGTTTAACTACTACAGGATGCTGATGCTTCAGGGTCTGATAGCAGCCAGGAAGCACATGGAGAAGGTTCTCCAGATCGTGGAGATCATGCAGCAAGGTGACGCTCGCTCACTCGCTCACTCACTCACTCACTCACTCACTCACTCACTCACTCACTCACTCACTCACTCACTCGCTCACCTGCCAGGTGCTCACAGGTGTACTACCCCCCCCCCCCCCCAGGTACCCAGCTGCCCTGCTTCCATGGGTCGAGCACCATGAGGGGCCTGAAGGAGCGTTTCCACATGAGCCTGACGGAGGAGCAGCTGCAGCTGCTGGTGGACCAGCTGGTGGACGGGTCCATGAGGTCTCTGACCACCAAGCTGTACGACGGCTTCCAGTACCTCACCAACGGGATCATGTGACGCGTCGGGTGGTAGGGGGTGTGTGTGTGTGTGTGTGTGTGTGTCCATCATCAAATGAACAGACTGATGTTTTATATCTGACCTCAGAGACGATGAGCCTTCCTCCTCCTCCTCCTCTTCCTCTTTTACCCTCTTATTGCAGCAGCTTCTTCTTCTTCTTCTTTTATTCCATTTGTTCCTACTTCCTGTTGTTTCCTGTTCCTGTTCAGCCGGACTGTTAGCCAATCAGAGAGCAGCTCCCAGTTTTTAGTTCATACGGTGACACTCGGCAGGTAAAGTTTGTTACCGTGGAAACAGTGTTTCATCCCCACAGCTGACTGTAAACCAGTTTGTCCATTAAACCAGTTGATCAAAATAAGACTCATTTTATTGATGTTAAAAAGATGTTTTTGCATTAAAAGTCAATGACTATTAATATGTCAATAATATCAATGTTTTATTAGAAATACATCCGATGGGTTCTCTCTTGTAGAGACAAAATGCTGTGTTCTTATAAAACTAATCACCTTGAAAATGTCATTTTGAGAGGGGACATTAATTCAATAAATAGTTTACAATGAATATTTGAAGCTACATTTTGATGCTCTTTAGAGGTTTTAATGAGAAGTTTTGTTATTAGTATCCATTATCAGAATAATCAGAATTAATTCATTGATGGGATTTTATTTCCTGCTTTGCTAGAAAAAGCAACGCAAGGAGGTGTGAAAAGACACGCAGGGGACACGCAGGGGACACGCAAGGGACACGCAGGAGACACGCAGGAGACACGCAAGGGACACGCAGGGGACACGCAAGGGACACGCAAGGGACACGCAAGGGACACGCAGGGGACACGCAGGAGACACGCAAGGGACACGCAGGAGACACGCAGAGGACTCTTGCGTCTGTGTTGCCTTGCGTCGCTCTGAAAACGCAGAAGCATGAACTAGACTTTAGGGCCCGGGGGGGTTATATTATATTAGAACATTTCGATCAGTAGTAGTAGAAGTAGTGGTAGAAGTAGTAGAAGTAGTTCCAGTACTTCCATTTGAAGGTCCGGCTCGCCCGTTTCCTGTGGCCTCGGGAGGAGGAGGAGGCCTCAGAATACTTCTTATTTTATTGTGAACAAATACAGATTTTATAATTACATTTTATCTCAGCGAACAAGTCAAATAAATAATAATTCAAATGTAATAAAGTTTATGAACATGAATTCAGTTTTTATGAAACAAGTTCTATAATACAAGTAACTATAATATATAATGAACAGACTCCCAGTTTGACCTCCTGTCAGAGGTTAAAGGTCAATGTGGTTTCACAACTAGATCATTTATGGTTTCAGATTTAATGATTTTTTTTATAAAAACACTTTCAATCAATCACAGATTTTTAATTTTTTTTCAAATAAAACTCTTAATTTATTTTATCCACAAATAAGATAAATATTATAAATAGAATAATAGAATTAGTTTTGGACATTTGGAGGAAGCTGCTACTGGTGGCCTTTCAGAACTACATTTCCCAGAGTTCCACTGGCAGAAGGAGGAGGCGGGGCTTCACCTGCCCACACCTGCAGGGAGTTCGACTGAAGACTGAAGGAAGAAACGCAGACAGAAACAACAAAGTGGGAACAAAATGCTGCTGAGATCAACAGAATCCGCCTGATTCACTGATCCGAACTCTACGGATCCGGACTCAGCTGATCCAGGATCGGTCCGAGTTCACTGGGATCCTGATCTACCTGAGACCGACTCCTTAAGATTCCTCAACGTTCACCTGAAGCAGGAAGTGAAGCAGACATGGTGAGTCCTATTTCTGCTGCGGACTAAAGCGGGACAGACTCCGTCCCGGTCCCGGTCCGGTCCTGGTCCCGGTCCTGGTCCCAGTCCTGGTCCCGGTCCTGGAACAGATTGTGCTGCAGTTTCTTAACTTTAAAAACAGAATCAACAATAAATGAATTGTATGAACACATGTTCGCAAAGAATGAATAAATGTTTATTTATGATTATATTAACTAAAATAAAAAGTACATAATTAACAATATACATGTTTTTAAATAATCATTCAAATAAACTACATTTTATAAAATAACTTAAATCATAAATCATTTCATTTGAAATGTTTTTATTTATTTTATTTTGTCAAATAAATCTCATTAATTAAAAGTTATGTAACTTTATATAAACAGCAAATGTTTACATGTGACTAATTATTAGCAATATTCAGTCTTATTATTATGATAAATTATTATTCCTAATCTACTCATCATCTGTCTTCATGATCAATTGGAACATATATAATATATATATATATATATATATATATAAATTTGTATTAATTCATTTAAATATATTTATTCAAATTAGACTAAATATTTTCTCTGTCTAGTGAGTTTCATGTTTTTAAACACACACACACACACACACACACACACAAACACACAAACACACACACACACACACATACTGAGCAGCGTTTGAGGCAAACATGTCGGGCGTTGCCGCTCCTCAACAAGATCCTGCAGGACAAAAGGAATGCTGGGATTTCTTCAGGAATGATCTGGCAAACGTCACACACACACACACACACACACACACACACACACACACACACACACACACGCACAGGAAGTCACACCCTTCTCAAATCTTTTATTTACATTGTGAAAATCAGCTGATCCTCGCTACCTGATCCTGATCCTGACTACCTGATCCTGACTTCCTGATCCTGATCCTGACTACCTGATCCTGACTACCTGATCCTGACTTCCTGATCCTGACTTCCTGATCCTGATCCTGACTACCTGATCCTGATCCTGACTACCTGATCCTGACTACCTGATCCTGATCCTGACTACCTGATCCTGATCCTGACTACCTGATCCTGATCCTGACTACCTGATCCTGATCCTGACTACCTGATCCTGATCCTGACTACCTGATCCTGACTACCTGATCCTGATCCTGACTACCTGATCCTGACTACCTGATCCTGATCCTGACTACCTGATCCTGATCCTGACTACCTGATCCTGACTACCTGATCCTGATCCTGACTACCTGATCCTGATCCTGACTACCTGATCCTGATCCTGACTACCTGATCCTGACTACCTGATCCTGACTACCTGATCCTGATCCTGACTACCTGACTACCTGATCCTGATCTATACTCATTTATCCACACTGCCAGATCCAGATGACTTCATCCAGACCAACCGAGCCAGACCACCTAGTAATAATATCAGATTCCAGATGAGGCGATTGAACCTGTCCTGACTGTAGGTCGGAGGTCAGTGGCAGTGAACATGATGTGGTCAGCTAACCGTCTGTGTGTCTATGCCCCGCCCCCTCAGGGCAGCAAGGAGCGTTACGATTGGCTGGCTCAGAACGTGAAGGTGAGCGGCGTGGATGACATGGTGCTGCTGTCCAAGATCAGCGAGGACGCCATCACGGAGAACCTGAAGAAGAGATACATGGACGACTACATCTTTGTATCCTCGCTGCGTGATTACTAAAGAAATCTGACAACAGGAAGTAGGTCAAAGGTCGAGGGTTCTGCTCCTTAACCCGGTTCTGTCAACAGACTTACATCGGCCCGGTTCTGATCTCTGTGAATCCCTTCAAGCAGCTTCCATATTTCACTGATAGAGAGGTGGAGCTCTACCAGGGAGCGGTGAGACGACAACAACAACAACACACTCACGCATTGACCACACAACACAACACAATCACAATATACAATAACACAATAACCAAGCTACAACAACACCATGACCCCCAACACCCCCCTTCCTTCAGGCCCAGTATGAGAACCCCCCCCACATCTACGCTCTGGCTGACAACATGTACAGAAACATGATGATCGACAACGAGAACCAGTGTGTCATCATCAGGTAGGCGCGACTAACACACAAACAACAACGTTCATCGGGTGGGGGTGGGGCCTCATTCGTTTGATTGACAGCATCGTGGCTGTATAAAGATTTGTCGAGATCCAATGTGGCGTTCAGCGTCCTGGACATGATTAAGTATCATTGTTGATTGACGGTTCATCTTCAGAGCTTCAGTAGAAACGTGTTGGTTTATCTTCAGCTCATAAGTCAAACGTCAAGGACAGACTAATCCACGCCGCCGCGTTGCTAGGCAACGGCTTCAGATGTATATACATCAAAATACTAAAGTAGTTTCCCTTAAGATGATGATACTAATACACAGAAGGGAAAATAAACGTTCTGACGCTGTTTCCTGTTTGCTGTCAGCGGCGAGAGTGGAGCCGGAAAAACTGTCGCTGCCAAATTCATCATGAGCTACGTCTCCAAGTATCCCGAGGGGGGGACAAAGTCCCAGGTACACGGGGTACTGCTCAGGTACTGCTCAGGGTACTTCTCAGTACTAATCATTGTACATGTGTGTGTGTAGCACGTTAAAGACATCATCCTGCAGTCCAACCCCCTGCTGGAGGCCTTTGGGAACGCCAAAACCGTCCGGAACAACAACTCCAGCAGATTTGTGAGTGTGTAATATATACATAATATATATATATATATATATATATATATATATATATATATATATATTACATAATATGTATATATTCTAATTTGTTTTTATAGCACTTTTCTGGGTACCCAAAGACGCTTTACAATGTCTAAGTAAGGAAAACGTCCAGAAGAGAAATAGACACAGAAACCAGTGGAGACTGAGTCCTGTGGGGGTCGGCGTCAGAAGGCGCGTTTGAATGATCATACGGGGGGAGCCTGGTGGATTTGGATGGGGGGGCGTTCCAGAGGGGGGGTGCAGCAGCTGTCGGCCCCGGTCCGGCGCTCGGTCCTGATGGTCTTCAGGAGGTCTGACAGGTAGGAGGGGCTTTGTAGCTGATGAGTCCATCCTGCGTCTGACTGGGAGCCGGTGGAGGCTGTAGGACCGGCTCATGTGTCCATGGCGCCGGGTGGATGTGAGCAGGCGAGCTTTGTGGAGGCTTTAGTTGGGGGAGCCGTAGAGATGCTGGTGCAGTAGTCGAGTCTGGAGGTCAGAGGGCATGGATGAGAGAGAGTGAGAGTGGAGTGGTGACTGTGGTAAAGGTCCTAGAGGAGGAGTATACTACTATACGTAGTACTAATACATGTTGTCCTATCAGGGTAAATACTTTGAGATCCAGTTCAGTCGAGGAGGAGCTCCTGATGGAGGAAAAATCTCTAACTTTCTGTTGGAGAAAAGTCGAGTTGTTTCTCAGAATCCTGGAGAGAGAAGCTTCCACATCTACTACCAGGTACCTCGATATGTACATCACCTCCTCGCTTGATACCCTCACTTTCTCTCCAAATAAACATCATAACCCTAACCGTTGACCTTTATCTTCAGGTGTTGGAGGGGGCGAGTTCGGAGCAGAGGGAGAACCTTGGGGTCACGACCCCCGAATATTATTTCTACCTCAACCAATCAGGAACCTACACTGTGGAGGACATTAACGACAAGAAGGACTTTGCTGATACTATGGTCTGTCTCACTGCCTGTCTGTCTGTCTGTCTGTCTGACTGCCTGTCTCCCTCCCAGGAGGCCATGTCCGTAGTGGGTCTGTCTGTCTGTCTGACTGCCTGTCTCCCTCCCAGGAGGCCATGTCCGTAGTGGGTCTGTCTGTCTGTCTGACTGCCTGTCTCCCTCCCAGGAGGCCATGTCCGTAGTGGGTCTGTCTGTAGAGGATCAGAATTCGGTCCTTCAACTCGTGGCGGGAATTCTTCATCTTGGGAACATCAGCTTTAGAGAAGAAAACAACTATGCTGTGGTGGAAAGCCAGGACTGTAAGAAAGTACACGGTCTAGCACACACACAACGTACACTGAACTGATAAAGGGGGAGGTGGGAGGAGGTGGGAGGAGGTGGGGGGCGGCATGTGCTCCAGCGAGATGTTGAGGTTCATCGATGGTTTCCGGTCTGATGTCTGGTCCCCCCTCCTCAGTCCTGGCGTTCCCCTGCTTCCTGCTGGGCATCCCTCAGGACGGCCTCTGCTCGAAGCTCACCAGCAGGATCATGGACAGCAAGTGGGGGGGTCGGACGGAGTCCATCGCCGTGACCCTGAACACGGAGCAGGCGTGTTTCTCCAGAGACGCCCTCTCCAAGGCGCTCTACACGCGCCTCTTCGACTTCCTCGTGGACGTCAGTCACTCCGCCGCTTGACCTTCATCCATTGAGCACAATGCCTTTGGTCAGTATGAGCTGATCAGCGTATTGATCTGTGTGCAGTGCGTCAACAAGGCCATACAGAAGGACCAGGAGGTGCTGAATATCGGCGTGCTGGACATCTACGGCTTCGAGATCTTCCAGGTACAAACGATTGTTCTTCCATGTTGTTCCATGTCACATGTGCATTCTCTCCTGCAACCACCGAACCTGATTACAGCTCCAATCGATTGAATCCATTGATCTGATCAGTAACTTGTTTGTTCCTTTTTAGCGTAACGGCTTCGAGCAGTTCTGCATCAACTTTGTCAACGAGAAGCTGCAGCAGATTTTTATTGAGCTCACACTGAAGGCTGAACAGGTGATCCATGATGACATCACATCATTGTCTTCCTGTTTCATATGAAATCTCGTCCTCTCTTACGTTGACATTAACACTGGATTGTGCAGGAGGAGTACGTCCAGGAGGGGATCAAATGGACGCCCATTGAGTATTTTAACAACAAAGTGGTCTGTGACCTCATCGAGTCCAAACTGGTGGGTCCACCAGCTCCATTCAGGAGCTCTTTGTCCTCAACACACGAAGAACTAAGAAACAAAGTGAACCTGAAGGAATAGACCGCTGTTTACAACGCACCATTTTTCTGTCTGTTTCCCAGAATCCTCTTGGGCTCATGAGCGTCCTGGATGACGTTTGTGCTACGATGCACGCTAAAGGCGAAGGAGCCGACCAGACGCTGCTACAGAAGCTTCAAGGACAGATCGGATCCCACGAGCACTTCAGCAGCTGGAACAAAGGGTTCATCATCCACCACTACGCCGGCAAGGTACGTCCCAGAGGTCCGTCCGTCCGTCTCCCTGTCCGTCCCTCCGTCCGTCCGTCCGTCTCCCTGTCCGTCCCTCCGTCCGTCCGCCTGTCTCCCTGTCTGTTCGTCCGTCCGTCTGCCTGTCTCCCTGTCTGTTCGTCCGTCCGTCTGCCTGTCTCCCTGTCTGTTCGTCCGTCCGTCTGCCTGTCTCCCTGTCTGTTCGTCCGTCCGTCTGCCTGTCTCCCTGTCTGTTCGTCCGTCCGTCTGCCTGTCTCCCTGTCTGTCCGTCCGTCCGTCTGCCTGTCTCCCTGTCTGTCCGTCCGTCCGTCTGCCTGTCTCCCTGTCTGTCCCTCCGTCCGTCCGTCTGCCTGTCTCCCTGTCTGTTCGTCCGACCGTCTGCCTGTCTACCCGTCTCTCCGGCCGCCTGCCTGCCGTCGTTCTGTCCAGATGTTTTATTGTTCCGTCTGTCTGTCCAGGTGTCCTATGATGTCAGCGGTTTCTGTGAGAGGAACAGGGACGTGTTGTTCAATGACATCATCGAGCTGATGCAGAGCAGCGAGTTGTGAGTATTCAAGCTCTGATAGAATTGTGCTGTTCTGACGAGGGTGCTGAACTTCCTCAACCCCAAAAGAAGGACACACGCGGGCGCGCCATGGCTGATGGACAGTCCTCGGCGGCATAGTGTGCAACACGCTTTCCTTTCGTCATTGGCGACGGCTTTAACTCTTTAGCTGCAAAGTCTTTTTTTCTCTGAAGGTTCACTGCTCATTTTGACACACGATAACGCTCCCAGTGGCCAGTTCAACCAAACTGTCACCAACAAGCAACAAGCGTGTCCCATAGCAACGGGACATGTCAAAATCACCCATAAATCGGGATGTCCCGGACAATTCGGGACGGTTGGCAACCCTAGTTCTGACCCAGAATCCTTTGCACAGCAGATAGAGGAGGCAGTGTTTCTCTGAAGCAGATTTGAGGGATGGGGGGAGGGTACACCGTGCTCACCGTGTGCGTGTGTGTGTGTGTGTGTGTGTGTGTGCGCGCGCGCACTTCGAGGTCAAAGTTCAAGGTGCCGTGTTATAAATAAGTAGTTTGTCTTTGTAATGGCAGCTGCAGTTTGCACTATACGTAAGTACTAATCGCAGCTCAGTGTGTGTCCGATGACCTCACAATAAGCCTCCCTTTGTGGTGCGTTTGTGGTCAGTCCGTTTATCAGAGCTCTGTTCACTGAGAACCTGGAGGTGGAGAAAAGAGGACGTCCCACCACCGCCAGCAGTAAGATCAAGGTAAGAGGGTCTAGAGATTCACATTTTATGATAATGCCTGAAAGGTACAACAGGTAAAACTGCCCCCCCCCCCATTTTAGAAACAAGCCAACAGTCTGGTCCAGACCTTGATGAAGTGCACCCCCCACTACATCCGCTGCATCAAACCCAACGAGACCAAGCGCCCCCGGGACTGGGAGGATAACCGGGCCAGGCATCAGGTGGAGTACTTGGGACTCCGCGAGAACATCCGAGTCCGCCGGGCGGGGTATGCCTACCGACGGGCCTTCAACAAGTTCTTGCAGAGGTCAGAGGTCATGCAGGATGTCGTCGCTGCGTACTGGCTGCCTTCGTACGTTCTTAACAAGAGAGGTGGGGTTTTTCGCGGCGCAGGTACGCAATCCTGACGAAGGAGACCTGGCCCCGGTGGAGCGGAGAGCAGCGGCGTGGGGTCCTGCATCTCCTAAACTCTGTTCACATGGATCAGGACCAGTTCCAGCTGGGCAAGACCAAGGTCTTCATCAAGGCCCCGGAGTCGGTAGGAAACACAGCTTATACCCGACTTCTCATTACGTGGCATTCTGGGTATCGTAGTTCACAAAGGTCTTTGCTGTCACTGTCCTCTCTCTCCTCTGCAGCTCTTCCTGCTGGAGGAGATGCGGGAGAGGAAGTACAACGGCTACGCTCGGGTCATCCAGAAGGCCTGGCGCAAGCACATTGCTGTCCGCAAGTACGTCAAGATGAGGGAGGAAGGTGAGACGGTTGAGCATGCAACACATGTCTGTGTCGCCAACATTGTCTTCCCCCACCACTGAGACTTTTCTCTGTTCTGCACCAGCCTCGGATGTTCTGCTGAATAAGAAGGAGCGCCGCAGGAACAGCATCAACAGGAACTTCGTGGGTGACTACCTCGGGACAGAGAATCACCCGGAGATCCGGAGGTTTGTGGGCCGCCGGGAGAAGATCGACTTCGCTGACGTCGTGGTGAAGTTCGACCGAAGATTCAGGGTAAAAAAACTCTTTTTTTTTTAAAGGGTATAACAACTGTATCAACAGTAGGACGTTTCTGTAGTGCCTTTTCATGAATTTGCTTCATCAGGAACCTAAACAGCTGAACCTCAACCTGAGGGAAAGACCTCCACCAATCCTGAGGTGCGAGAGCTGGTGACTCACTTCCCGTCTGAATGCTTTCTGTCTCACAGACCGTGAAAAGCGACCTTGTCCTGACCCCAAAGTTCTTGTACCTGATTGGTCGAGAGAAGGTGAAGCAGGGTTCTGAGAAAGGTCAGATCCATGAGGTCCTCAAGAGGAAGATCGAGGTCAACAGGATCCAGTCTGTTTCCCTAAGGTGCCATAACCAGCAACAGCTTTAGACCTGGAACTACAGTTCGGACCTGGAATAGGACCAGTAACTGAGTTGACTATCTCTCTACCCGTCTCTCTGTCTGACCTATCTGTCTCTCTACCGGTCTGTCTCTACCTGTCTCTCTGTCTGACCTGTCTGTCTCTCTACCTGTCTGTCTCTTGGGCAGCACCCTTCAGGATGACTTTTTCATAGTCCATGAGGAGGAGTACGACAGCGTTCTGCAGAGCGTCTTTAAGACCGAGTTCATCAGTCTGCTGGTCAAACGTTTTGAAGAGAAAACTCAGAAGAAGCTTCCTCTGAAGTTCAACAACCTGTCAGTATTCTTCTCCTCTGTTTTATACTTTAGCTTCTTCACACAGGCTCCACAATGTCATGTTTTACTGCAAATAGAAGTTCTCTGAATACAGCCCTCTAACTTAGTCTGGAGTTCAAGGTGAAGAAGGGCAGCTGGGGTCCGTTCAGCTCTTCGGGGTCCAGACAGATCCAGTTTGTGGCGGGTCAGGGTGACGAAGCTCTTCTGAAGCCTGCAGGGAAGGTCCTGCAGGTCTCCATCGGACCGGGTCTGCCCAAAAACTCCAGTAAGCTCGGGGAGCCAAATTCACCACAACTTCTTCCGCAACATACTGCTTGGTTCCCCATCGCTTATATTACATAACATCACATCACATGACATCACATGTCATTTATCTGACGCTTTTATCCAAAGCGACTTACAATAAGAACATTTCAACCATAAGGACACAAACTCAGAAGAACAAGAAACAAAGTGTGATTTCATCAAATAAGCCGATGTACAACTTGCTGTAGATAAGAACCATTATAAGTCCAATGTAAGTGCTCCAGTTAGTTAGTGTGTTAGTGGAGGTAGAGTCTGAAGAGGTGTGTCTTTAGTCTGAAGATGTGAAGGCTCTCTGTGGTCCTGATGTCTTCAGAGACCTCCTTCCACCATTTAGGAGCAGGACAGCAAAGAGTGGAGATCTAGTCGAGTGTTTTGCTCTCAGTGAGGAGGAACAAGCAGTTTATCACATGCAGAGCGGAGAGTGCGGGTCGGGATGTCGGGTTGGACCAGGTCCTGGATGTGAGCTGGACCCCATCCATTCACAGCCTGGTACCTGAGCACCATGTTTAGAACTGGAAGAGCCACCGGTACCAGTGAAGAGAGCGGAGGAGTGGATCATCACTTCCTGTTTAGCACCCCCTCAATTCCCGTTGGATCCGCCGTCACTTTCTGTTTGCTCTCCAACACATCCTTCCTATTTTTGACCCGTAGGACCAACACGGACCGATAAACGCAAGAGCCGCTATCTGGGGGGCCAGAACCAGGCCGGCAACCAGTATGACCCAGGTACTAGGAGAGCGCCGCGGCATTGGTTCGCCACCGACTGACCAATTGCTGGCTCACCATCTCTCTCTCTTTGTTCCTCAGCTGCTCGGTCCAGACAAGGCGAAGCGCCCAGGGGAGGCTCCGCCCCCGGCAGGGGCACCCTCCTTAGGCAGCAGTCGAGTATGGATCAGCCAAGTCTGCCGCGTCTACAGAGCCAGCGTCCCCACGACAATCAGCCCAGGGGCCACCAGGACATGGGCTTCATGAAAGTCCCCGACCAGGGCGCCGCAGGGTGAGACTTTATGACCAGTAAAAAGATTATCAATTATAACCAGAATTTACATTATAACCAGTCCAAAGATTATAAGCAGAATTAACTAGGCCTGGTTCTGGTCCACGTTCTGGTCCTGTTCCGGTCCCAGCTCTGGTTCCAGTCCTGTTTCTGAACCCTGTGTTTTCCTTGCAGATTTCAGCGCCGGCGGTCCAAGGAGGTGAAACCTCTTCCCGGGTCCGGTCGGCCCAAACCGGCCCCCAAGCCGAAGCCTCGGTCCCCCCAGTGCCGAGCGCTGTACGCCTACGACGCCCAGGACACGGACGAGCTGAGCTTCAACGCCAATGATGTCATAGAGATACTCACAGAAGGTACCGCTAGTACACCTAGTGCTGCCGTTAATACTGCTAGTAACACCACTGCTACTACAAGTACAACGAGTGTTAGGACAACTACTAGTAGTAGATACACCTCTATTTCTAATCCAACTTCTCACAGTAGTGTGTTGTCTCTGATCCACAGATCCCTCTGGATGGTGGTTTGGTCGGTTGCGGGGAAGAGAGGGGATGTTCCCCGGAAACTATGTGGAGAAGGTCTAAGGGGGCGGGGGGTGGGGGGGCAGGCAGAGGTCAACAACATGCAGCTGAGGTCAGAGGTCACCAGAGCTTGGAACACATCAACTGACAGGAGGGAGGAAACTATTCAAAACTCTTGTTCCAGTCTGTGGAAGGTCAGGTTGTCCCCGTTAGAATCAGGTGTTCCTGTAACAATGGTTACCATAAGGTTAAATGACCCGTAACCATGGTTACAATTGGGGTACATCTTCGTAACCAAGGTTTTAATGAGGTGACATGTCCCTGTGTGACTTCAGTCTCTGATCATCTCTGATGGTTTACAGCTTGATCCAATGTCCTCAGTGTTACCATGGAGTCCTAAAATGCGCCCCCTGGAGGCTCCATGTTTATTACAGCCTCAACATGACAAGTGTTAACTGAAACTAAACGTCACACTGCAACATTTAAATATGAATATTTTTATTCATTTAAAAAAAACAACTGAACAATGTTTTTATTCTTGTGATTGTAAAATTAAAATAATTATCTTTTGATTGTCGGCCGTCATTTGTTTTGCAGAAGTTAACTTGAATAGTGTCTTATTTCAGACAATAATTCTATTAACTGTGTGTGTGTCTGTCAGAACATATGTGTATATATCAGGAAACATTTATCACCAAAATATGTCAGACATACAAGGAATTTGACTTGACTCATGAGTTAATTAACTTGAGGAACGGTTCTATTTTCCTCTACCGAGTAACAAGCAGTGAGGTTCATTTCTTCGACGTTTCAACTTGCTCCCTGAACGCCTCTTGACCTTTTACCCATCCGCCCGCTACCCGCCGTCATCTTAACAGTCACGCGCTCACGTTAACAGCAGCGTGCGTGAGACCGACCCAGCGCGCGCTCCGTGACGTAGTGTCACCGTGTACCTGGTCCGTTACAGTGGGATTAGCTAGCGGCTAACGGTTAGCAGCGTTAGCAGCTAGCGGCTAGCAGAAGATGGAGGACTTTCTTTCGAGCTGCTCCGGGGCCGTGAAGGTAACACACCCACACACACACACACACACACACACATTCACGCATACACGCATGCGCGCAAACGCACGCATATTCACGCGCAGGCGCGCACACACACACACACACGCACACACACGCAAACACACAGACACGCAAACACACTCGCACAAAAACACTGATGTTGTTATTGTTCAGTTAGCGTTAGCTACCGTTAGCTAAACAGACCGATAACAAGTCATTTATTGAAGAATGAACCTAAGATGTCAGGTTTGCAGCAGTAACACTGACTTCCGTCAGTGGTCCCTTTCAAAGTAAACTTCCGGTTGGTGGCACATTCAAATAAAAAACGTACTCTAGAGTTTGTCATTGTTGAGGCTTAAAGCTAAACAAAATATATATTTTTTGTATTGTGTATAAACTAAATAAAGCTATTGAACCTCAAGGTGTTGATCTCAGCGACTGTGATTCCTGCTGCAGTTATTTCCTCTTTAAGTAACATCATGTGGTCCAGGTGAATCTGGATCAGGCCGGTTCAGGGTTCCACGTGGTTCTGGGTAATGAAGCCTGCGACGTGGACTCCATGGTGTGTGCTCTGACCTACGCCTACTTCCTGTCCAAGGTGAGCCTCCAACCCATCGCTGCAGGTGTGTGTGTCCGCTGAGGTGGTCTACTGAGTGTCTCTGTTTGTAGCAGACCGGTTGCTCAGAAACGCTCGTGGTCCCGATGCTGAACATCCGTCAGTCGGAGCTGCCGCTGCGCTCGGACAGCGTCTACCTGCTGCGACAGGTCGCGCTGGACCCCGAGCTGCTGCTGTTCAGGGACCAGCTGGACCTGCGGGACCTGCACCGGGGGGGCCGCCTGCGGCTGACGCTGGTCGACCACAACGTCCTGCCCAGGTAATCATCATCCCAGTCAATAGATTAAAAACACTACTGATTAATCTCACATTTTGAAATTGATTAATCGTGATTAAAAGTTAGTTTTTCTTCTAAAGGCTACATCGTATAATTGAACAAGTAATCACTTTAGAAAGCGTGTATTTTAGACACACTTGTGTTGTATTTCAAACCCAAACTGTCCCATGTGATCGTCTTTGAGGTGGAACATCGTCCTCGTGCACTTTGCTCTCAGGTCTCCATCGTTTGACGTGTTTGTCCCAACAATGTCCCACGTTGAGCAGGACGTTTTCAAACCACTGTCTTTTAGGGACACACAGGTGGTCCTCTGCAGGTAGATGTTGAGATGGATGTAGCCTAGCAGCTAGCTTAGCCTAGCAGCTAGCTTAGCTCATCAGTCCTAAAGTGGTCCGTTACGCGCGCGTGGAGGAATTGTTTTACTTCCAATGCAAAAAGCGTCTCCATCTTCAGCTACGTCTCGTCTCTGCATCGAACTGACTGCAGCACGCCGTGCTTCAGGGGTCAGGGGTCAACGCACACCAGAAGAAACATCGCTGCGTTAAAACATTTTATTGAATTAAGGCATTAACTTTGACAGTCCTACCTGAAAGTAATCACACACCCCGTTAGCCAAATACATCACCCTTCTTTAAAGGATTGATGACATCGAACAGTAAACACACAGCGGTGTTTTTGTGTTGTCATGCAGGTCAGACAGCGACCTGGAGGGGGCGGTGGTGGAGGTGATTGACCATCACCTGCAGGAGAGAGCGTCCTCCCCCTCCTGCCCTGTTACCGTGGAGGTGGTGGGCTCCTGTGCGACCTTGGTAACGGAGCGTATCCTGCAGAAGGCCCCGGAGGTCCTGGACCAGCAGGTGGCCCAACTGCTCTACGGTAAACGCCTCAACCGGCCCCAACACTTCCTAACAGCACCTGGTCCCGTTCCTCGTACCAGTGTTCATTTCGTCGACGAAAAATGTTCGTTAACGAACCTTTTTTTCATGACTAAGACGTGACGAAAACGATCTTAAAAAATAAAAACTATGACTAAATCTATTCTAACTTTCGTTAACAAGACGAACATGTTGGTGGTTGACAAAGTCACGATAGTTTTTCCCCCTAAATCCGCCCGCAGCTGACAGACAACAGACAGACAAAGTACGGCGGATGTTAACGCGTCATGATGACGTCATCCACGAACCCAGGACGCTCGTATCGGTGCAGCGGTGCTTCTTGTGCACCGACTACGGACCGAGACGACTGTTTCACTCTGCGGCGGGTTTGAACGTGGCTTCGTTAGTTTAGCTCAGCTGTCTCGGGTTAGCTGCCTGTTAGCTGACTGTTAGCTGCCTGTTAGCTGCCTGTTAGCAGGCTGAAGCCGCGCTGCTTCACAGAAACATGAAGACGCGTTTAAAGACCGTCGGACCTTTCTGCTCTGTTCTCTGGCGACGGCAGCGTTTCCTCGCTGGATGAGACGCTCCGTCACAAACGCGTCTAACGTAATAAACTTGTTGCAGGTTCTGAAGCCTCACGCGTTTCTACCGTAGTTCACGCGCCACATCGTGAGAAGACGTTAAACCGTCTCGGCCACCGTACGCTCGTTACTAAGCAACGTAGAGGCGCCAATAATGTCTTGCAGATTGTAGGACGTTAAGGTCTCTCTTGTTGGGACAGTGGAAACAATAAAGGAGCATGAAGTGTCAAAAGCATCGCAAGTAAACAGACAAAGACAAGTGTTGCGTTTACGTCCCTGGTCCTCATGAAGTTGTTACACCTTTGACAATTTGTTAAATTGACTTGCAAATAAATGCTTTGCTATTTGTTAAAATCTAAATCCTTTCATGTAATTATTCACATGTCATTTATATCAGCTCACAAACACTTCAACCGTTTGTTCTTCCTCCGTCACATTTTACAACCCATTGTGGCCGCGAGTCAAAACGTTTGCCGACCTGCTATAGACCTGTCCTATGAGGGACATCTATAGACCTGTCCTATGAGGGACATCTATAGACCTGTCCTATGAGGGACACCTATAGACCTGTCCTAGGAGGGACACCTATAGACCTGTCCTAGGAGGGACATCTATAGACCTGTCCTAGGAGGGACATCTATAGACCTGTCCTAGGAGGGACATCTATAGGCCTGTCCTAGGAGGGACACATATAGGCCTGTCCTAGGAGGGACACCTATAGGCCTGTCCTAGGAGGGACATCTATAGACCTGTCCTAGGAGGGACATCTATAGGCCTGTCCTAGGAGGGACATCTATAGGCCTGTCCTAGGAGGGACACCTATAGACCTGTCCTATGAGGGACACCTATAGACCTGTCCTATGAGGGACACCTATAGACCTGTCCTAGGAGGGACACCTATAGGCCTGTCCTATGAGGGACACCTATAGGCCTGTCCTATGAGGGACATCTATAGACCTGTCCTAGGAGGGACATCTATAGACCTGTCCTATGAGGGACACCTATAGGCCTGTCCTAGGAGGGACACCTATAGACCTGTCCTATGAGGGACACCTATAGGCCTGTCCTAGGAGGGACACCTATAGGCCTGTCCTATGAGGGACACCTATAGGCCTGTCCTAGGAGGGACACCTATAGGCCTGTCCTAGGAGGGACACCTATAGGCCTGTCCTATAGGAGGGACAACCAAGTACTGCAAGCTGGACTATTATGCGGCTGTAGACAGAACACGGGTCCGTGGACCTGAGAAGGGAAGAAAAGGAGTTTAATGTGGATATTAAATGGGACTAAAACTAAGGAGGATTAAAATGACTAAATGTGACTAAAACTAATATGCATTTTCATCTAAAGACTGAGACTAAATCAAAAATAGCTGCCAAAATGAACACCGCCTCGTACGTGGTTCAACTAAGTCCATCAAATGTCCCGTTACCCAGCTCAGGTTACCGAGATGATTGACATCAGACTGTCTCGGTTCCTCGAAGGCGGATCGGCGCTCAAACGTCTCGTTAGTTTGAACCAGATGTCAATCATCAGGATATTCGTCTCACGTCAGAAGGCGGAAGAGTCGATCACAGAAACCAGGATTTTTAACAGTATGACGGTGAATAAACTTGAAGGAAGAGCAGGAGATGATCATGAACACATGAGCAGATAACATGTTCATTTGAATCATTTCTGTCGGATGAATTTAACGTATTATTCATATTTGACGTTGTTCATTCTGTCCGTCCCTGGAGGACCGTCCTGTGTCTCTAAAGGTTTCTTCCCTTTATTCTCCCCATCAAACACTCTCTCATTGTTTGGGGAGTTTTTCCTGTCGATGTGAGTGTTTCTGCACAGACGTCCCATGTGTTCACACTGTAGAGACACATGAGGCACATTTGTGATCTTGTGGAATATAAAATGAACTGAATCAAATAACTTTGGCAAACGGCTCATTTTGAATCCGATTCACTCAGACTTCTTTAGACGTGTCTGCTGGCAGGAGGCTTCATGCATCATCGCCCAGTGAGAATAATCATCTCAACTCTTTCAGAATAAGAAGATAAAAACGAGGCTGATCGACACGTATGAATCGTATGAGGACAAATGTACTCGATGCGCTTTTCTAGTCCTCAACAACTGAACCGCTGCTCGCTGCGTGCTCATGGGGTCGTTGTGTGTTTGTCTCCTTGTGTGTAGCTGCGGTGGTGTTAGACTGCGTGAACATGGCGCCCTCAGCAGGTAAAGTCACCCCCAAAGACGAGCACATCGCGGCGGCGTTGGAATCTCGTTTTCCGTCTCTGCCGCCGAGAGACGACTTCTTCCAGACGCTGAACGAGGCCAAGTTCAACGTCTCAGGTCAGAACTGTGTGCAAGTACCTCAACTGCAGGAAGGACAGAAGGCATTTGGGAGAATTTACTGGAGTATCCTGTGGTGTCAACGTAGTATTTCTTGGCGGTGACGTAGTATTCTGTCTTCAGGGCTGAACACTGAGCAGATGTTGCTGAAGGACTTGAAAGCTGTTTCAGGAAGTTTGAATGTCGCCGTCTCTGTTCTGTACGTCCCACTAGAGGTGAGTTTATACTACACACTGTACTGGGATACACACTGTGCTGTGATACACACTGTACTGGGATACACACTGCTGGGATACACACTGCTGGGATACACACTGTGCTGGGATACACAGTGTACTGGGATACACACTGTGCTGGGATACACACTGCTGGGATACACACTGTGCTGGGATACACACTGTGCTGGGATACACACTGTACTGGGATACACAGTGTACTGGGATACACACTGTGCTGGGATACACACTGCTGGGATACACACTGCTGGGATACACACTGCTGGGATACACACTGTGCTGGGATACACACTGTACTGGGATACACACTGTGCTGGGATACACAGTGTACTGTGATACACAGTGTACTGGGATACACACTGTGCTGGGATACACACTGTGCTGGGATACACACTGTACTGGGATACTGGGGGGGTTGTACTAGTCACGCGCTCTGTGTTCGCCGGTGGGTGAACCTGCCGTGCGCGGTAACAGGACAACGTGAAGAGAAGCGCCTGGTGACGCGTGGGGAATCTGTCAGAGGGACGAGCGCACATAATTAGGAGAAAATCCGGTCAATTTTCAAAATAAAACATTTTTCAGAAAAAGAAAAAAAAAAAAATTCTTTCTGTGGTGCGTCCCGGTACCAAACGACCCACGGACCGGTACCGGTCTGCGGCCCGGTGGTTGGGGACCACTGCTCTACACTACATCACGCTGTGTGTGTGTCAGGACTTCCTGCAGAGGGCGGGGCTAGAGGCGGAGCTCTCGGGTTTCTGCATGAAGTTTGGATTCGACCTTCTGCTGCTGATGACCATCTCCTTCAGCGAGAGCAGAGAGCCAATCAGAGAGCTCGCTGTGTTCAGCCACAGCGCCGCCTGCAGACAACAGGTACACAAGTATCAACTGACTATACTACTGTAGGTACATAAGTACACGTCGACTAGCAAAGCTACCCTGGATACACACGCAAAGTACTTTTCATTATTCTGCTACTACTAGGTAGCTATGTTGGGTATCCATGACAACTCAGGTACCCCCCCCCCCCCCCCAGGTGAGCCACTACCTGGAACAGGCACGTGACCCCGCCCTCAACCTCTCTCCGATCACCAACCCTCATCCGCGCGTTGCAGCCTATCAGCAGGGTAAGCTCCTCCCCCGGGACAGACAGGAAGCTGCCTATCAGCAGGGTAAGCTCCTCCCCCGGGACAGACAGGAAGCTGCCTATCAGCAGGGTAAGCTCCTCCCCCGGGACAGACAGGAAGCTGCCTATCAGCAGGGTAAGCTCCTCCCCCGGGACAGACAGGAAGCTGCCTATCAGCAGGGTAAGCTCCTCCCCCGGGACAGACAGGAAGCTGCCTATCAGCAGGGGTAAGCTCCTCCCCCGGGACAGACAGGAAGCTGCCTATCAGCAGGGTAAGCTCCTCCCCCGGACAGACAGGAAGCTGCCTATCAGCAGGGTAAGCTCCCTCCCCCGGGACAGACAGGAAGCTGCCTATCAGCAGGGTAAGCTCCTCCCCGGGACAGACAGGAAGCTGCCTATCAGCAGGGTAAGCTCCTCCCCCGGGACAGACAGGAAGCTGCCTATCAGCAGGGTAAGCTCCTCCCCCGGGACAGACAGGAAGCTGCCTATCAGCAGGGTAAGCTCCTCCCCCGGGACAGACAGGAAGCTGCCTATCAGCAGGGTAAGCTCCTCCCCGGGACAGACAGGAAGCTGCCTATCAGCAGGGTAAGCTCCTCCCCCGGGACGGACAGGAAGCTGCCTATCAGCAGGGTAAGCTCCTCCCCCGGGACGGACAGGAAGCTGCCTATCAGCAGGGTAAGCTCCTCCCCCGGGACAGACAGGAAGCTGCCTATCAGCAGGGTAAGCTCCTCCCCCGGGATGGACAGGAAGCTGCCTATCAGCAGGGTAAGCTCCTCCCCCGGGATGGACAGGAAGCTGCCTTCGTAGCCCTCGGCTGGTCCTCATAGGCTGAACGAGCGCTCTCTGAAAGGGGACGGTCTGTCCTATGGGGGACTTCCTGCTCCGCTGCTCCCGTTACCTAGCAACCTGCTGAGCTTAACAATAAAAGCCTCAAATCCCCCAAAACGTATAAATTAGAGATAAGGAAGATCATCTTCCTTATATTTCATTTAATTTAGATACGCTTCTCCTCCGGAGCATCAGACATTTCAGGCTGAGAGAAGAACATTTGCCGGTTTATTTGAAATTCAAATTAAATCGGTTAATGTATATTACTTAATGTATAATACTAATTTATAATTACTCTCAGCTCAAAGTAATATTGCAAACTTAATTCAGAGGAGATTCCTCAATAAAACCACAACCCATTTATTAACTTATTGACTTTTTCTTTTTTCTTGCAGAGGATACGAGATATTTTAACTAAGATATTACAGAATCTGTCCACACTACAGCAGCTTGATGTCACCACACACATGGTTCTCCTTCAGCTTGATGCATAAAACACAAGGAAACGTAAAGTCACTTCATCATCACACCACAAACCACTTCACTCTCTCTGTTGATTTATTCTGTAACGTCACTGACTTCATAACTTCACTCAGAAGTACGGACGAGCTGCTCGTTGTGTGTTTGTTACAATGTGTGTTGCTACATTGATCCATAAGAACAGAACATGGACCCGGGGGGCTCAGGTGAGGGTCCGGCTCAGGGGCCGTATGGGGGGAGTTAACGTCGTCACTAAGAGCGCTTTGTTCCTGCGTCTTATGTGCATTTAAAACCATCGGCAGCCTGGCGACTTTCAGACGCCGCTTGTTTGTGTTTCTGTGACCTCACACATTTAAACATTTCATGCTTTTATTGTGAAATAACTGACTGCGTCTGTTTAAAGGAAACTCTATAGCGTCCCGTAAGAAGCTACTCCCCATCGTTAAGGACTTCCTCAAGGAGCGAGAGGGAGGCGGTTGCCTGGGAGACGGTTGCCTGGGAGATGTGGAGGAGGAGGACGAGGACTCGTGCTTCCCCCCCACCCCCATGAACAGTCTGGCGGAGGGCTGTCCCCTGGACAACGGACTGCCGCACATCAGCGCTCTGGACCTGGAGGAGAAGTTCAGCAAGATGGCCGAAAGAAAAGGGAACTGACCTCTGACCTCAGGCCTGTCAGTCGTCAGTCTCATGACGACGGTATCACCGACACCAAAAAACATTTCTATCTTAGATTCAAGTCACTTTTTGTATTACTCAAACACGGGATTTTATTCAAAGACAATCCTCTGGACTAACTTTTGTCCCTTCAAAATAAAATGTCACATGCTTATTTCAGTGTTTGCGTGAACTGTGTTTTCAACGCGTGGCTACGTGCACACGGAGCACGAGATTTACAGCTGTCATTTGTCATTTGTATTATCATTTATATTGAGAATAAAGTCAAATGACCGTCTGAAGAATTCGTATAACGATGATGGTTCAAATAGTATCAGATTCTTTGTAATGTAGCAATTTATTGATTGAAGTTCAGATAAGAGCAGCTGAAATGATAACAGTGTTTTTGTTGTTTAATTTCCAAAGTGAGTACATTAGTTATTCCATGACAGTATTGATCACGTGACAATCTTTGTGAAATCTGCAGTCAGAGTGACTTTTACATCAAACTTAGAACAAAAAAATATTAAAAAATCAAAGCAAATAAAAAGATTCTTCTGCACGTTATTGTTTGTATGGATGCAAAGTCGTCCACCTGAGTGACAGGTGTGAATCCCTCCGGTTACCTGGGCCCTGTTCCTCGTACGTGGCTCAACTAAGTCCATCAAATGTCCCAACGTCACCAGATGATGGACGTCGTCTCGGTTCCTCAAAGGCGGATCGACGCTCAAAGCGTCCGACTCTATATTCACACCCACTGCTCAAAGAGATGAAAGCATCCATCTTTGATCAGGGGATGAATTCATCTGTGAACACTAAACACACTGTAGCACTTACATTGTACTTATTACGGCTCGTAACTATTGTTACTGTTCTGAGTTTGTGTCCTCGTGGTTGAATGCACTCATTGTACATGTGATGTAATACTCTGATATTGATGTGGTCAGTAAGTAGCAGAGGGGGCTCTTAATCCGTTTCAGCTGCACTAGTGGGGCAACAATGAGACGACCCCATTGGACACGTGGAGGACAATTCAAGTTTCTCCCTCTCGATGTCATTGACTGGTTCTCCACCCGTGTTGGCTTTCGTCATCACTACTGGGAGCATGAGGCCACTTGGCACAGAGGGTCCAGCTCCTCCAGGAGACGGGTAGTTACTGAGAGAGCTGGACGTGGAAGGTCCTCAACCCGTCAGCAGGACCCACATCTGCTGCTTTGTGTACAACACGGCTCATATTTGTGTCCATAGTTGTTTGAAGGTAAACCTTAAGGTGGAGGCACCCAGTAGGACCCTGAGGACACCCTGGTTGTGCCTCAGCAGCCAATTGGTTGATATGGAGGAAGTCGGAGTGAAGCTGACCTGCTCCCTCACCTGTCGGCACGGAGAAGGTGAGTGTCGACCAATCAGACGCAGGCTCTGCTGTGTAATGCAGCCAAACCTGTTCGGGGGGGTGGAGACACATTGAGTGTGTGAGAGCGAGCGAGAGAGACACACGTAGACATCCAGACGCTCACACATGCTGGTCAGAACACGCCGTGACATCACTGTGACATCATGGACCCCCCCAGCGCCCACACGGACAGGTACAGTGTGTGTGTGTGTGAAGCTTAGATTTAGTCAGTGTTGTGTTTTTATTTTAGTTTTGTGGCGCTTGTCTCTCCAGACTGTCAGTGAATGTGACGCTGTGGTGCGTTTGCTGTTTGCCATCATTTTCGTGCAGCAGGAAGTGGTGTCCGTTGACTTCCTGTGTGCCGTAACTGCTCAGGTGTCTTCTGGTCCTGCATCTAAGCCCCCTCCTCAGTGATCTGGCCCAGTCCTGCCAGGAAGCTGCTGTTTCCACGACGACCTGAGCAGATGTTCCGTGTGAAGCTGAACAGATTTTATTGATCTGATTCATTTTAAACGTTAACATCTGGACACGCTTTTGTCCAATGAAGTTCATTCAAACAAGAGGAACCAGCAGAGACCAGTCCGCCGTGGACAGACCAGGAACACACATCTGGAAAGAGGAGGAGGGCTTATCTCCTCCTCCTCCAGGAGCCTCAATGAGGCGTTCAGGTCCCTCTGTGAACCATCTGATCCGTGTCAGCTGCATAGTTAACAGTTTATCTCCAAATGAAAGTAGCTTATAAACAGATAGCGCTGGCTAACGTTAGCTCAACGCTAACGTGGCTTATAGAATCACCACCTTCTGTCAAAATGGTTGCCCGTCAAGAACAAAATAGGAACCACGTAAGACCCTGAATACCTTCCACCTACAGTGGGACAACTTCAAGCACCTCGGGATTCTCTTCAAGAACTCCAGAACCCTTTCAAGAACCATGAGATCTCCTTAAAGAATACCTATTGAAGTTCTTGAACCACCCGGACTGGTAAGAACAGAGAACACAACCCCCCCACGCACACACACACCTGGAAGGACCTCCCACCCTCTGCTGCACACCTGCTGCCCTTAACCTGTGACCTCACACACACACCTGGTTACCTGGAGGGCGGATGTGTGTCAGAGGAAACTGCCCTCTGCTTCAGAAACAACAAACACAGGAACATTACAGCTCCGCCTCTCCTCACCTGCTCAGGTGTGTCTGCGTGAACAATCTGAACCAGAGCGGCAGGTTTGTTCAGTCGCATCCGATCCGAAGAGCATTACCTGGGGACAGGTGAGACCCATCCAGGAAGAAGCTTACGGAACATGAACAGTCTGCTTTCAGAGGGAGAACCACTTTAAGACTTTCCTTTCTTCCACTTGGAACGTACTTTTTATTATGAGTTATTAGAATAGTTTCATTAGTTTGCATTTCACCTCCCGAGCAAAGACCTGAACCTTGAAAGTTGGAGCGTGACGCGGCTCTGGTCTCACCTGTGGGTTCCTCTGGCCTCTGCTGGCCAGTTAAGGTCATTAACCCCACAGGGGGGATCACTGGCCAGGAGGTGTGTGCTGATGTTGGTTTTGTCCCTCCAGGGCTCCCGTAGGGGCCTCGGGCCTCCCCGACATCCAGGACATGGAGCTGAGGGAGGAGTGGCAGGACGACGGCTTCCCCAGGTCGGACCTCCACCTCGTACGAACAGCACTGTTAGAAGAGACTTCTTGTCTCAGCTTTTGGAGCTGGAAGGTTAAACGGTTTCTCCAGCAATCAATCATTCACTTGTTAACTTCCCCCCGCTCCGGGATGTTCTACGGCAGGGGTATGAAACTAAAACGTAAAGAGGTCCAGTGAGAGAACATGTCTAGAAGGTTTGGAATATCACAATGTGTATTTAGTGTGATTAAATAGAGGGATCGAGTTGTATAAACATCTGCATGTAATCAATACACGATTCAAAAACTACTAACTGAACAGATACAGTCTGTAAGACTGCAAATGTCAAGAATATTCTCTCATTAAATAAATAAAAGTAAGAAAATAAGAAAAATTGTTCAAATACTCTGCTATTACATCACATGACATCACATGTCATTTAGCTGACACTTTTATCCAAAGCGACTTATAATAAATGCATTTCAACAATAAGGACACAAACTCAAAAGAACAATAAACAAAGTGCGATTTCATCAAATAAGCGACTGTATAACAGAACCATTATAAGTCCAATGTCAGTGCTGCAGGTAGTTAGTGTGTTAGTGGAGGTAGAGTCTGAAGAGGTGTGTCTTTAGTCTGAAGATGTGAAGGCTCTCTGTGGTCCTGATGTCTTCACAGACCTCCTTCCACCATTTAGGAGCAGGATTAAATTCTCTACTTTCCTCCTTGTGGAAAGCGCCATTTGTTCCTAATTTTTCTCTCCTGTCTCTTGCTTTCGCTTCGCTTCTCAAATGTCTTAATTTTTCATTCAATTTTTTTAAAAGTCTTTAACTTTTTCTTCCTTTTTTATTTGCGACAGTTTTCACGGAATGAGGACGGACCAGGAAACGGATGTTTTGATGAATTTGCACTTTCTTGTTCTTCTGAGTTTGTATCCTTATGGTTGAAATGCACATGTAATGACATGTACTGTAAAAACAATGTAATGTGTGTGTGTGTAAAATGTGTGGAATAACCCTTTAAAACCACCGGCGTCTCGGCTTCAGGCCTCTCCCAGAGGATTGTCCGGAGGAGGCAGAGAGTCCGTCAGGAGACGAGCAGCAACCAGGTACCTTAAAGCACTGTTCTAGATTTGAACGACAAGGAATAAACGGGAAATAAGAAGCAGCAAAGGAAATATTCAAAAGTCAGATAGCTCTTCTCATCCTTCGCCCCGCCCCCTCAACTGCCCGTAGCCCCGCCCACCAGCCTTGTCCTATTGGGAACCATTGGGAGTGTGGCTAAGAAGCGCCTGGTGGCCCCATCGCTCAGCCTCACTCTGAGCCGCAGAGACTCTCACGACCCGAGCAGCGACGGGTTCTCTGCCGCCGCGCTGTCGGCGACGCCCGAGGAGACGCCGTCCTTCGACATCAACCTGGAGGCCCTGGAGACGCCCTCAGGCAGCGAGACGGGGACGCTGCCCGACTTCAATAATGAGCTGGAGTGGGAGGGTGAGACAGACAACCTCTCACTGACCTCTACTTTGACCTCCGTCCGACCCACCTATACAACCTTTGACCTCTCTCTTTCTCAGCTCTGACCTCTCATTGAACTCTGACCTCTAAGCCCTCTCCCTCTGAACAGATGACCTCCCGCAGATGGCGGCAAAAGGGGCCAAGTCAAGGAGTCCTTTGGACCAGTCCGAGGACCTGATGGACCTGGACCAGACGGACACCAGGGGATGCCGCTGGCGGAGGTTTTCCGTCTCAGGACACGAATTCCACGTCAACATGAGCGTCCTGGAGCCGTACCTACAGGTCCTGTCGCACGGAGGTCAGAGGTTACACACCTGAAATCTGTCCACAGTCATTACTGGGAAGGTTTTAGTTTGACTCCTCCCCTCGTGTCTCATTGACTGTCAGGTTACTATGGAGACGACATGAACGCTGTGGTCCTGTTCACCGCCTGCTACCTGCCGGAGAACACAGTGGACAACTACGAGTACGTCATGGACAACCTGTTCAGGTAACAGTAATAATGCCGCTAGCAAAGAATGTAAAGCATAGTGAACGTAACTCCAGCTTATTGTTTGGATCAATTACTGTAACCAGAGCAGCACTAAGGCACGGCGGGGTTAGCTAGCTAGCTAATTTGGAAGCTAACGTTAATGGACAAATGGCTACGTAGCTATCTAGCTTTAACTGGCAGACAAATGGCTAATTAGCAACAGCTAAAAGCAGCTGCTGGTCTAAACGAGGTACGAGGTGTCCATCTGTCTCCAGGGCTGCGTCCAGCAGCGAGCCTTTATGTCCTCAGTGCCGTATGTCGCTCCCACAGTGTTTGTGTGTATCTTTGTAGGTACATTGTGGGGACCTTAGACCTGATGGTGTCGGAGAACTACCTGTTGGTCTGCCTGTGTGCGATGGTTCCCAGGAACAAGCTGCCCTCCATGAAGTGGCTCCATCAGTGCTACGCCTCCATCGACAGGAGGTAAGCCGATGGAACCCTTCAGCTTCACATGCCTGGGAAAGTTAATATCAGAGCATTGTTTCCATGACAACCAAGCTTTTATTTAAGTCTGTATCCCTGTCTGTCTGTCTGTGTGTCCAGGCTGAAGAAGGACCTGAAGGGGCTGCTGGTGGTCCATCCTGCCTGGTACATCAAAGCTCTGCTCACTGTGATCAAACCCTTCATTAGGTCTGTAACGCTCCCCATAATCAATATCTATGATAACATGTCAACAAGAGCCTGTCGCTCTCTCTCTGCCTGTCGCTCTCTCATTACTGTCTGTCTCTGTCCACAGTGACAAGTTCAGCACTAAGATCCGGTTCATTGGCAGTTTAGAAGAATTATCTCGGTTCATTCCAACAGAAAGTCTGCAGATCCCAGACGCCATACACCAGTAAGATCATTTGCTCTACTGTCACACTACTGTCACTCTACTGTCACTCTACTGTCACACTACTGTCACTCTACTGTCACTCTATTGTAGCTCTACTGTCACACTACTGTCACTCTACTGTAGCTCTACTGTCACTCTATTGTAGCTCTACTGTCACTCTATTGTAGCTCTACTGTCACTCTATTGTAGCTCTACTGTCACTCTACTGTAGCTCTACTGTCACTCTATTGTAGCTCTACTGTCACAGTACTGTCACTCTATTGTAGCTCTACTGTCACTCTATTGTAGCTCTACTGTCACTCTACTGTAGCTCTACTGTCACTCTATTGTAGCTCTACTGTCACAGTACTGTCACTCTATTGTAGCTCTACTGTCACTCTATTGTAGCTCTACTGTCACAGTACTGTCACTCTATTGTAGCTCTACTGTCACTCTACTGTAGCTCTACTGTCACTCTATTGTAGCTCTACTGTCACAGTACTGTCACTCTATTGTAGCTCTACTGTCACTCTATTGTAGCTCTACTGTCACTCTACTGTAGCTCTACTGTCACTCTATTGTAGCTCTACTGTCACACTACTGTCACTCTATTGTAGCTCTACTGTCACTCTATTGTAGCTCTACTGTCACAGTACTGTCACTCTATTGTAGCTCTACTGTCACTCTATTGTAGCTCTACTGTCACAGTACTGTCACTCTACTGTAGCTCTACTGTCACTCTATTGTAGCTCTACTGTCACACTACTGTCACTCTACTTCAGTTCAACTGACTACCCTTGAACTTGCTTTTCTTTCAGGTTTGATGAGAAGTTGAGAAGATGATGATCACTGAGGTTGACGGACTGGAAGGTTACTAAAAGGTCAAAGGTCACTCTCACCCTGATAACCTTTGACCTCCTGCCTGTTTAGAACAAAGACTCTGGGTTTATTTATACTGTCTTTAAAGTTAAAAGGTCAAACTCAGGTGTGTTTTTACCTGTGGAGCTGAAGCTGGCGTCTGATTCAGGACTATTGATCCTCAATCATGTGATCAACGTGAGGCTTTACCATAGTTTGATGAGCAGGCTGCCTATTACCTGTTGCATTAATGCGCAACTGTGATAAAAGCTTCGATCAAACTTTTTTAAATTAGAACTGACTGATTTTGATGTTTGGTATTGGTGTATTAAAATGTATTGGTGTATTAAAATGGTTGACAAGCAAGTCTTAGTCAGTTTTCTGTATGTATTGTATGTATCTTTTGTTCCACAAAGTGGTGTCAATTCTGTGAAAGGAAAGTGGTACCATCTCTATTTTGACACTGAAATAATCAATGGTTATAATATGCTAAAATAAGACATTTGTGTTCTGTTACAAAATATTTTAAATAACTAATTTTATGTCAACCTTTCAAATCAACTTTAGACTGTAAACTCTTAACATCAGAGGCTTCAGGAATTAATTTAAAATTCTGTATTAAACTGACAATAATCAAAATGATACAGCTTCTTGTAGCCGCTTTACAGTCTGTACACATGCGATACCTTCTGTCCAGGAACCTTCACATCAGCACAGGAAAAACTTTCATGGGGAAAAAAGGGAAGAAACCTCAGTGAGAACATCAGAGGAGGATCCGTCTCCTGATGGACGACTACAATGATGTCATGAGGACAGAATGAACAATGTAGAAGATTGAAGAAAACAACTACAGACGGTCTCTCTTCTTCCCTTTTTGTCCAGAACTCTTGAACGTGTGATCTTTAACCAACTCTCCTCCTATCTCCACCGTAACAACCTCCTTGACCCCCACCAGTCAGGCTTCAAGGCCGTTCCACAGAGACTGCTCTCCTTGCTGTCTCAGAGCAACTCCACACTGCTAGAGCTCCTCTCTCTCCTCTGTCCTCGTCCTTCTGGACCTCTCTGCTGCATTTGACACAGTCAACCACCAGATCCTTATCTCCTCCCTTCAGGAACTTGGTGTCACAGGCTCTGCTCTCTCCCTTCTCTCGTCCTACCTCGACGGACGCACCTACCAGGTAACCTGGCGAGGATCTGTGTCGGAACCTTGTCCTCTTACTGCTGGAGTTCCTCAGGGTTCCGTCCTGGGTCTCCTCCTCTTCTCGCATGGCTTCACCTACCACAGCGATGCTGATGACACCCAACTAATTCTCTCCTTCCCTCACTCGGATCTCTGCCTGTCTTACTGACGTCTCTCAGTGGATCTGCCCACCATCTGAAAATCAACCCCGACAGACTGAACTACTCTTCTTTCTGGGAAAAGATTCTCCGACCCAGGACTTGACTGTTAACTTTGAGACTCCGTGTTAACGTCCACTTTGACTGCAGGAACCTCGGCGTGACTTCGACAGCCGACTCTCCCTGACTCCAACATCCCTGACACCATCCTGTAGATACTCGCTCTACAACATGAGGAGAACACGTCCTCTTCTCACTCAGAAGGTACTGATTCAGGCTCTGGTCGTCTCCCTCCTGGACTACTGTAACTCTCTCCTGCAGGTCTCCTGCTACCTCCATTCAGCCTCTGCAGCTCATCCAGAATGCAGCAGCTCCACTGGTCTTTAACCTTCCTAAGTTCTCCCACACTCCTCCACTCCTCCGCTCTCTTCACTGGTACCGGTGGCTCATCCAGTTCAACCACTGGTGCTCAGGTACCAGGCTGTGAATGGATGGGGTCCAGCTTACATCCAGGACCTGGTCCAACCCGACATCCCGACCCGCACTCTCCGCTCTGCATGTGATAAACTGCTTGTTCCTCCTCACTGAGAGCAAAACACTCGACTAGATCTCCACTCTTTGCTGTCCTGCTCCTAAATGGTGGAAGGAGGTCTCTGAAGACATCAGGACCACAGAGAGCCTTCACATCTTCAGACTAGAGACACACCTCTTCACACTCTACCTCCACTAACACACTAACTGTAGCACGTACATTGGACTTATAACGCTATCTATAGCAAATTGTAAATTGGCTTATTTGAGGAAATTGCACTTTCTTGTTTCTTGTTCTTCTGAGTTTGTGTCCTTATGGTTGAAATGTTCTTATTGTAAGTCGCTTTGGATAAAAGTAGTAAGCAGGTGTACGACAAGACCACTGCAGGGACAACCACCATCAGATAGAACCACCATCAGATAGAACCACCATCACATAGAACCACCATCAGATAGAACCACCATCCACAGAAGCCTGTGGGGAGGGAGAGCACAGAGACTTTAGGAGAGGGTAATGTCGGTTTATGAGTACAGAAATATGATTAATATCTCAAATAATGATGATGATGATGATGATGGCAGCAGCAGGCGTCAGCAGGGCCCAGAAGGAACTACGATCTACGGAGACCTGCTAGGGGAGAAAGCAGAAGCTGAATTAGTCATGTGCATTAATAAAACGTGAATTATGGTAGAACGAGAGCGTGAGAGAGGAGCTTGTGTGTCCTAAGAATTCCCCCGGCATTCTAAGCCTATAGCAGCTTAACTAAGGGCTGGTCCGGACTAACCTGAGCCAGCCCTAACTATAGGCACAATCACAGAGGAACGTTTTAAGTTTTACTTTGAAAGAGCTGACCGAATCTGCCCCCCGGACTGAAAGTGGAACCTGGTTCCACAAAAGAGGAGCTTGATGACTGAAGGCTCTGGCCCCCAGCCTACTTTTTAAAATCATAGGAACAACAAGTAACCAGCATCTATGGAGCGCAGCTGCCTTGTAGGGCAATAAGGTGTTACAAGCTCTTTAAGATACGACGGTGCCCCACCAGCAAGTGCCTTGTAGGTGAGGAGAAGTACCTTAAAATCTATTCTTGATTTAACAGGGAGCCAGTGCAGAGAAGTTAATACAGGAGTGATATGATCCCTTTTCTTAGTTCTTGTTAATACACCTGCTGCAGCATTCTGAATCAGCTGGAGAGGCTTAAGAGATTTATAAGAGCAGCCTGATAACAGAGAATTACAGTAGTCCAGTCTGGAAGTAACAAACGCATGAACTCATGTTTCTGCATCACTTTGAGACAGGAAGTTCCTGATTTTTGATATGTTACGTAGATGAAAATAGGCAGTCCTTGAAGTCTTCTTTATATGCGAGTTGACGGTCATATCCTGCTTCATGGTCTGTTGACTCTAAATGGACCATAATTCACAAAATGAACATCATGCTGTATTGAAGAAGACTTGAAACTAGAGACTGAGACCATAAACTCATGTTTACAACGTTTACTGAGGGAATAAATAAACAAGAGAGAAGTACTTTTCTCATAGACGTCTATGGGACCAGAGAAGTCGCCCCCTGCTGGTCAGGAAAAACGTTTTTAAGGCAGCGCTTTTGGACGATTTAGTTTTAGTGAGTAATGTTACTCCGTTGTTTACTACAACTGCTAATGCTAATGCTACGCTCACCTCTCACTGTTTATTTTAGGGCTGCAGTCAATCTTCACTCTAATTGGTCAAAGACTGTTCAGCACTCTTCCTACTTTTAGAACCAGTGATCTAACGCTTATGGAGAGGTCAAAGGTCATATGCTGTTAGGTATGCTGTGGTCCAGTACTGCTTTTAACCAGTGACAGTGAACATATCACCAGCCAATCACACTACAGCAGATAAAGACCCAGTAAATTGAATCAACTGACTTGAGTCAGAATGTGAGTTCGTAAAAAGTAAACGTGGAGACGTGATTTCATCCCGCTGGCTAGCAGCTGACCAGAGACACACAGAGACACGCAGAGACACACAGAGACTATTTCTGGACTTCACTGCACACCAACAGGAAGCTACCAAAACAGTTTGATCTCACTGAGTGAGGGACACTTTAGAGGACTCCACACCGAAGACAGACTGACACACACACACAGGGAGAGAGACAGGTGGACATACAAAGAGAGACAGGTCGACAGACAGTCAGACACTACGTTTTGTTGCATAAATAAACACTTAAACACAAATAAAGTTAAGTGTGTTTATTTCACAACATAAATTACAACTAAATGTTCTCTTCACTTCACGAGGATTCAACAAATACAACATAGATAACTTTTAAAAGCGTTTCAGTAACTCAGAATATAACGAGTCAATGCTGATGATTCACTCCCTCAACATTCATCCACTCACTCAATCACGTCTATTTATAAAACTATAAGTGAGGCTGTTAAACAGATAAAAGTTGCTGATAAAATATAGTGTGTGTGTGTGTGTGTGTGTGTGTGTGTGTGTGTGTGTCAGTAAACAGCCTCGTCCATATCGCCGTCACTGTCTCCTCCAAACTCCTCCCCGTTATCGAAGTAGGACATGATGTAATCCGTCTCCTGCAGGTAGGGAGAAGCACCACAAGCCTCATTATTTGAATTGACATTAATATACAGTAGTTACACTCACATTGAAATATAATAGGAGGTATAATAATGAGATGATTCACCTCCTCAAACTCCTCCTCGTCGTACTCTTCCTCCCCGTCGGCCTCCTCTTCCTCCTGCTTCTTCTTCTTCTCCTCCTCCTCCTCCTCCTCAGAGCTCGGCTCCTCCTTCTTCTGCAGGGTCTAAACACACACGTTGGGTTCAGATAGCACAGAACGATGGGATTGGTTGATGGCCGAGCTCTGCTCTGTGATTGGAGGACAGCAGGTGTCCAAGTGTCTCACCTCCAGTTTGAGCAGCACTTCCTCTTTGTCTGTCTTGTTGTTGTTGTTGTTCTGCCCCAACGGGGGTTTGTCAGAGCGTGTGACTGCAGAGAGGCCTGAGAGACAGAGAGCAGGGCACAGAGCCCTCAGCACAGGCTACTGCGTGTACTTTGTGTACTCGGAGTCCTTTGTGTACTTACCGTTTCTACAAGGTTTCTTCACTCTGAGCTCTTTGGGGAATCTTTTCCATTCTGAAACAACACAATATTTAACATAACATGAAATATTAAAAGCATGAACACAACAATCAATCATGATTATTGATACCAGTGATATAGATTATTGATCATTGACCTGGACTCCAGTCCGTCACTCCGTCTGTCTGCTCTCCGCTGTGATATTTATCGGAGTATCGCTCCACATCTGGACAGGAAACAAACACGATGAGGACCGTCACAATAAAAGCACCGTTCTGCTGTGTGTGTGTGTCTCTGACCTTTCTTTGCAGCTGTTGGCTGGATGAAGAAGGGCAGAGTCTTCATCGCTCCTCTGAACTCCTGTTTGAGAGCCAACAGATACTCCGCCTCCTCTCCACCTGTCAGGGGGAGGGGCTTCTGCTCCATCACCTGAACACACACGAGGATGATTCTGTCATCTTATTAACAGGTGTCTGTGGTGGTTAGTGTGTGTGTGTGTGTCTCTCACTGGGAACAGAGGTGTAGGTTGCTGTATCGACGGAGGTAAACTTTCTCCTCTGTTAATGCAGACAGCCTCCACGCTGAAGCTCATCATCCTCCGCCCCCGACCGCCCCCTCGCCCCGCCATCACCCCCAGGACCGGCTCCGTCAGAGGGGACCAGGTGGACCAGCAGCTGCTTGGAGGGGAGTCTGGATCCTGATAGAGAAAAGATTCTACTTTATTTAGAGGTCGATTTTATTTAGTTGATGTAAACTAGAGAACAGAAGAAGAAACCAGAACCACACTAGTACAGATAGAGTTACTGCTAAAACACTTCACAGTGCAACGTCATTGAGGAAATGGAGCAACTAACAGCTCAAAGCTCCTGAGAATCAGGCTGGATTCAAATGTTCTCAGGAAGGTTCCTCGCTGAGCGAAAGGAAGTGAAATAGTGTGGCGCCATTTGACCTCTCTAATGCTATAAGGAAAGAAGCTTCAGTGCTTCCTTACTTAGCTCCTTTAGGAACCACTGGAGCATCTTTTACCAAAGAAAGGAGATAATTCCGTCCCACAATTCCTTGCGGCGGCAATATTTAAATAGTGACGTTTCATTGGTCCGCTCTTGTGCATTAACGATCGTGACGTAGAAACGCAGATCATGTGACTAACCGTTAGCATCACTCGTTTGTGTTGATAACGTTTCCCTTTGAACCTGGTTGTTTGTGTGTCTGCACGACTCACACTGTAACAACACATGAAGCATCTGACGTCACCAACAAGCGTCTCCGTCCATCACAAGGACGCAGCTCAGTGGATCCCTAAACACCGCCTTGTCCTTTCCTAACTCCTCATCAGCTCTCCTAACCACCTTCCCTTCACCCCGTGACTATTTACCACAGAGGTCAAGGAAAGGTGGTTAGAAATTGACGTTAGGAGGTCATTTTTGGACAATTGGAATCCAGCCACAGCATCACAGACAACCGGAAGTGTCGAGCTGAACAAAGGCTAACTCGGGCTAACTTTACACCGCTGTGCTTAAGCTAGCGGTAGTAAAGTTAGCTTTTTGGGCTAGCGTTAGCTCTAAGATAAGTTAACTTCGTGCTGCAAACACTATTTCATATACCCGAAATTACAGCTTCTTCTCTTCGGATTGCGCAGGGTGACAGAGCGACTCATTCTGCAGACCGACCGACATGTTTGTTTACATTCAGCACCGCGCCATTTCTACTTCTTCTTCTTCTTCCTCCTCGTCTTCTTCTTCTTCTTCTTCTTCTTCTTCTTCAACTAATGTTATTGCTATCTGCTGCTTCTACCGCCACCTCCTGTCCGAACAACACGTCGGAGCCGCGTGTTGTACATGTACTACGCGTCAGAGCCGCGTGTTGTACATGTACTACACGTCAGAGCCGCGTGTTGTACATGTACTACACGTCAGAGCTGCGTGTTGTACATGTACTACATGTGGCTCACATATGAGGGAATTGGAACCCACGTTGTACTCTGTAATCTGGTGGTTTGTCATCGATTGGGACGGCCGACCTGAGATGGACGACATCGGTTACATTCTGTGAGGACATGAAGGTCCACATGGCGGACATTTGTTTAATTAGATGTTAGTTCCTGCATTCTAATGGATTTTTGGGTGTTATGCTAAAGATGCTTCTAGACTTGAGCGGCCTCAATGACTCAATGTGCCACAATATGAGTTTTGGATTTGACCGATCAACTAATTCTAAACTGATTCTAACTTATATTGTTAATTGGATTCTTAAGAGCACTTAATGATTTATGTTCAAAAAAATGACACCAGATTAGTTGGATAAATATTTTTCATAATTCAAAGCCTCCCACCACACGTTCCATCAAACAAAAAAGTGCTTACACAGTAGCCAATGATCAACAAGAATAACTAAACATGATCAGAAGCCGGTTGGTCATTTTGATCTGTGGGGAAGGTTGATTGATCACTGTGTCATAGATATTAAATACTATGACGTTAATCACATTACTACATTTGTGGCAATGCAAAGAGGGCAATCTGTTTACTGTCATAAACCAACAACGCCACCTACGGGAATTATTAACGGGGACCATCGATCGACAGTCAACCACAGGACACCGGTTTGGACAACACAGGCACTGGACGTGATTCCACAACAAAATTATACAAGTTATTTTTAATATCAAATTGTTTTCTTAGAATACAATCACAAATATTCAATAAAATCTACAGTCAATGGAATATTACACCAAAAAAGGAACGTTTAAGCGTCATTCAGGTTACCATGGAATGCAACGTACGGGGGGGCTGAGGGGGACGGAGCCCAATGTTCCACCACAAAACAAAAAACACACACCAACTATTGACACCGAGGTGCACTACAACAACACAATGAAGGAAACCACCAGCGGGATCAGCCGTCACCAGTAGCACCAACAGCTCCTGCTCATCACAACAAACAGAAGCAGCCATTAGCAACAGCAGCCAGAGGCCGAGGAGCGGCAGGAAGACGCACCTGAGGGGGATGAGCCGCTCATACATGTAACCTCAGCGTCAAAGCGACGGAGGATACTTGCTCACAGCCTGGTGACACACAGTGGGAGCGTAGACGGAAAGCCACCTGATGTAAAACACCCCAAACATGGAGAGAGAGGTGAGCCACACATTATATTAATGTAACACAGATGAGGTTCAGGTACATATGTATATGTATACATATGTATGTATTTTTAAATATATGCTATGCCCTGCAATATATATATATATATATATATATATATATATATATATACCATGTTTTATTTAAAAAAACGAAACAAGCTTGATAGTAAAATACTTAACAGTCAAGAATCAGCAAGACCAGCTGACGTGCTGACGTCATCAAGTCAGCTGCTGTTCCAGTGGCGGAAATGATCGTTCACTACTTCTACTACTACAACATGTAGTACTGGTGCTACGTGTCAAAGGAACATGTTGTACATGAGGTGCATATTGTCACATTTCACATCACATTTTAGTCGATCTGCTCCTCAGCTGTGACCCCCCCACGTGACCCCCCGCGGACCTCAGGGTCAAAGCCCCTCCCCCCCGGCAGGCTCCTCCCCCCTGCGTCCCCTTTCACGGGGTCAGTTTGAATCAGATCTTCAGGAAATCAGCATCAAAGAACCTCCTCAGTCCTTTTCTTCTTCAGTCATTGGAATATTCTCTGTTTCTGATGATTTGGATTTAAATTGGACAAACATGAAGAAAAAGGTGGTGATGATGATGATGATGATGATGCTGATGGGACTGCTCAGGTTTGAGATCTTCCTTAAAATACAAGAATATATACATTTGAAGTGTATAATATATTTTTATTTTTTTATAGGAAATTATAGATCTGCAGGTTTGAGAAGCATCAATTAATATCTAAATAATAATAATAGCTATATATATATTGTATATATAAGTGTGTGTGTTTTGTTATTCACCTGAATCCAGATTCAGATGAATACTAGACACAATTAAACAGATCAATAATAGTCAATAAAATGTGAGTTAATATTTGTGTGGAATCACTTCGATGTTCTGTTTCATTTGCTTCATATTTGTTGTTTTCATGAGCTGGTTTTCAGAAGAAGATAGAAAGTCACTCTGAACATTCATCATCATCCTCCTCATTTTCATACAGAAGACCAGTGTGTGTGTGTGTGTGTGTGTGTGTGT